AGACAGAATTGTGGCTGCGGTCACGCCTCCTGTGTGACACTATTGTGTGCCTTCAGCAGCAGCCCAAGAACTTCTTAATTAAGCATTTAAAGTCAGCAGTCACATAGGCTACACAGACAAGCATTTAATTCAATCTTTACAACAACCCCAAGAGATAGATATTATTATCCTGCAAAGATGAGGGAATTATCCAGAGTACAATGCAAGTAAGTAGCAGAACACAGATCATCTGATTTAAGTCCTAGACTGTTTCATTTAGAATTAATTAAATCACTGCAGGACACAAAATCATTAGACATTGGAAACTTTCCACATAAACTTGTCCTTGAAGCCAATATTATTTTATAAGAACATAATTTCTCTGGTTTCTGTTGTTTCATTTGTTTAGTTTCTGATTGGTCGCATTACATAAAATGATCACTTGTCTAATTAGAACTATAGACGATTCTAATAAATGAAAGCAGAAGCAAGTAACCAATCATAATGCAATCAATAACTATGCAGATATTTTCAGTATTTAGTTAATTTTGAACAATGCATATAATTGTTAAGCACAGGGCTTTTAGAAAAACCAAAGGCATTAAACTAAAACAAAATTTTACAAATAAAGGATAGTTTGTATAGAAGTAACAGTCAAATATAATTATATACTAATACATTCCACCTATTTTAAAGAAAAAGTTACTATGAATACTCTTTTTCTGTTGGTTTATTTGCTTCAAAAGTGTTTCCTTATCTCTTGTGTGGTCACATTAGAAATTCTGGCACCAGACCAGACGAGCCATCTATAATATAGCATTTATCAAATTTGACAATTTATATTCTGAGCAAGCATATTTTATCAGATACTGGATGGAGATGAAAAGAATACTGATAAAAGAAAATGCGAGAACATAGGCATGTATTTATAAATGGCATATCATATATATATACTATAAATATTTGTATATATATTTATATGTATACATTTATATATATTTATATGTGCTATGTCATATATAATATATATTAATATAAATATATATGTGTGTCTTGACATATGGTCAATACAAAGATATATACCCTTCTCCTTAAAAAAAATCTGACTTATAGCTGTACAGGCAATTCAGACTGGCAGAAGTTACCTGGTGTTTCTTAAAGAAATGTAATGTACTCTGCCCTTTCTTTTTGTTCCCTCTTTGATTTTCATGAGAGCATATATTGTTGGGAGACTCATTTTTTACCTCCAATGGGCATTGCTCCTGCTACCCCAATTATTTGGAATAAGACTAAGTTAAGATCATTGGGGGCAAGTGAAGTAGAGGAAGTGCTAATATTACTGACCATCCTTCATAAGATCTGGGGAATACCTACATGATTTTAATAAAATCTGATAAGCTGATACGTCTTGGAATTCAGAATTTTATGCACTACCGAAACAATACGACAGGGTTTTCTGAAATTTGAATAGCTTGATAAATAGATTATATGTACTGATTACAAATAATTTTAAAATATAGCAGAAATGACATGTATTTCTACTCTTTGTTTCTGGTAGATTGTGGATGAAATATCTATATAATGAAACTGTCACCTAACCATGTTACTAAATTTGTTTTACATGCATTGAAGGTAATTTTTGAAGCTCTTCATGTGACTTCAGAAAAATACCATCTTACCTAATTTTTCAATCAGCAATTTGAATATAAGTTAAATGCTGTCTTATCTGTTTTGTATATCTTAATTATTTTTATCATTATGACAGTGATATTATAGCAATTTTAGGCACTTTAAAAATTACAATAAAGCAATGTACTAATTTACTCTTCCACCAGTATTGAATGAAAAGTAAGACTAATCTTTCTTTCTGTGTTAGGCAAAATTGTTTTGTTTATTATGATGCATCATTGTTTTATTTGGATATCTTTATTACTATGAATTTGAACATTTCTTCAAAAACCCATTGACCATTTTATTATATATAATCAAATTTATCAGCCTTTTGCTGTGTGGTTTTCATGCTTTAAAAGACCATCCTAGAACACATAAATATTCATCCAGATTTTGGTGCCTTCATGATTTCTTGGTTATATCTTTCATTCTCCTGGAATCTATTTTTATGACAATTGTAAGGAAATCTAACTTTAAAAAAATATGGCCAGTTATTCCAATACCACTTATAAGATGACCATTCTCTCTCTGCTAATGTGAAATATAAACTTGATTAGGTGCTAAGTTCTTACATATACTGAGCTGTGTTTCTAGAATTTGTGTTTTTGTGCCGTGGATATTCTGTTTCTGCAGCTCATTTTGTGCATTATTCTAGAGTGCTTTAAAATCTGGCAAGGCAACGTTCCCTTATTACTTTTCTAAGTTTTTAAATGAATATTTTTATTCATTATGTTTTTTCCTCTGCTTTAATTTTGTAAACATTTTTCATCTCGCCCTTTAGGGGAACAAAAATGACACTAGCACTTTTGTTGTCATTACAGTCAATCAGATCACTTTGGGGAAGAATTAAATGGTTTATAATTCTGAAGCTTTTTAACTTACTCTTCATGCAAGTCGTTTTTCTAATACTCAGTAGAGCTTTGAGGCTTTCTATATATAGGCTCTTTATATACTTCTTGTCAGTTTCAATTTTTCAAATAGCTTTTTATCGCCAGCCAATAGGTTGAGTCGTGCTGAGTAAGCAGGCAGAAAATTACTCAGACTATGTTGGGTAGTTCAGTGAGTCAGGAGGCAGGTTTTAGAAGCAGGCTGAAGGGTAAACTTCCAGGGGGGCTGATCAGAACCCACAGAGCAGGCCTGGGGAGAAGCCGTCACACAGCCGCCTCTGAGGAGCAGCATTTCAGGTCGCAGCCGCCCCCCGACGCCAGCAACTCCACTCCACAGCAGCCTCCGCTTCTCTGCAGACATTGCAGCGTCTTCTGTTTTCTTATTTGCATTGTTCAGAACTTCCAGAATAATGTGACTCTCAGTGCTAATGATGAGCCTCTTTTTTTCATTCCTGCACTTAAGGGAACAATGTATCGTTCATTTTTGTTCACCACTACATGTCGGTCCTGAGAGCAGTGGGAAAGTCAGCTTCAATTCATTGCATATTAAGGGGTCTGCTTTGTTTTGTTTTAATTTTATAAATTTTTTTTCTCATCAGACCTTATCAGATGCTTCTTGGTTGAAATGATCATACGCTTTTTAAAAAATTTAGCCCATTAATGTGATATAGTAATAGGTTTTCTAATGCTTCTCTTTCCCCGTGTTCATGAAATAACTCGGATTTAGTCATCGTGAGACAACTTCAAGGCAGTAGAGAGGCAGAGAGCATATGTTCTGGGATCTGCCTGCCTGGGTTTCAGGCTGGGCCCTGCCATTACTGTTTGTTGTGAATGCAGACAAGAAATTTAGCTTCTGTGATACTCAGGTGTTTCTTCTGCAGCGTTGGAAAGACAGTAATGCTTCTGTAAGAGTTGTGTGAGGATCGTGTGAGCTAATTCATGAAAACAACAGTACATGGCACATAGTGTGTAATAAATGTCAATTAGTGTCTTTATTGTCTCTTAATATAATGCTGATTTTGTTAATATTGTAGGCATGATTCTTGCAAAATATTTCCAAGTGAGGTTGGCTTGCAGTTTTCTTTTTGGATGCTATTTTTGTCAATTATTTTTTATACCTTTTTGGTGTCGGGGTTATGCTAGTTTTGCCCGATGGACTGGAAAGCTTTCTATTTTCTTCCATTTTCTGGAAGATTAAACAACATTTACATTTCTGTTTAATTAAGGAATGCAAATTTTTCATAATGGTCTTTAAGTTTCCTCTAGATGTAATTCTTTGACAACTTATTCATTTCATTTACGGCTTTCATCTTTCAAATGTTCCACTTAAATTAATTTTAATCATTTTTACTTTCCAAAATATCATTTTACCATATAGTAATAAATTCAAATTTATTATCGTAGAGTTGTACATAATATTTTCTTAAAGATTTTTGTCTCCTTAAAATCTGTTACTTTCTTCCTATCATGTTACAAAGTTGAAACTTGCTATTCTTCACCTTTGTTCAGAACTAGTAACAATTTCATTATCAGGATTAACATGGACAAATTCTAGAAATATATCAATAAAAGGTATCTTAATAATTTGCTCTTTAATTTATCAATTTCTATTTTTATGAGTCCCTTTTTATTTTTTAAAATTTATTTTAAAATTATTTTTCCTATTTTAATGCTTAGTTTATTTATTTTCCTTCTTTTTAAATTTTAAGTTAAGGCATTTTATGCTAAGGAACTATGAATTTTCCTCTAAATACAATTTGATCCCATCCCATATCTTTAATAAATCTATTGTTTTAATGTTCTTTTTGGACATTTATACTTTTAGCTTCTTTTTCCATCAAGAATTATTCAAAAAGAATGCTTTTAGTTTTTAAGTATTTATATTTTTCATATCTTTTAAAAATCAATTTCTAGTTTTATTACACAGAGCTCAGAGAATGTGGTCTGTAGTTTATTTTTCTTCCCCTCTAATTTATCATTTCAACAAGAAACCTGAAAAAAATTGGTAGTTTAAACACAGACTTAGGAGTTAAATATAGATACCATATTGGGCATGAAAGTTTTCTTTTATCTTTCTTACTTTAAAATAGCTTAGTAATTGCATAAGATAGCGGATAAACTATTACTGTCTTTTATCTGCTTACTGATGATAGTATCAATTTAAGTATCTTAATGCTCAACCTGGGGTATAATTTATCTTGTTTAACTCAATATGCCTACTTTTATAAACTGTTATGGATTTTAGAGTTGGTTTTTTACTTTTATGTGGGGAGTTCATGTTTTTGCTCTCTAATATGAAAGTATACATGTTATTACTCATTTATGTAATACAATTATCTAAAGTATTGATTAGCTTTTGTTTGCTATAATTTGGATTTACCTTCAATATTCAAATTTCTTATATGCTTAAATTCCACTTTCAAGAGTATTTTTGTTTTGTTTGTTTTATTGCTATTTTCACAGAACATGGTTGGGGAGTGGGCCTTACCAGAAGAAATGGTTGAAAATTTACCGCCCCCTAACAATCGCATATTGGGCCATGTAACTCACAGACTAATTGGAAAATCTCTTCCCCCTCAAGTTGAATCAAAAGTACCTGAATTACCTTCCTTTGCTATTAAAGGCTGCTTATTGGGGAAAACATTTAGTGGAAAAACTACTGCTCTAGAGTCTCTACAGAAAGGTAGAATTTCTTTCTTTTTATATTTGTATTTATTGGATTCTATTAACATTGACTGTAGCTGCAAATGGCTATGTCTGTAGAAAACATACATGAAGGTCTGCTAATATAGTAGGGAAATCTATCATCAAGAATTTTATAATAGAATGATCAAATAATTTATTTCCAAGGCAGACACTTAGGAGTATAGAGTCACAAACTGTGACTGTCCCAGGCAAGCCTGGTTCTATGGAAAGGCTATATGATGATGATGCATAGAATAAATAGAAATAACAAGCCTTAAACTTTTCCTCAGAGATTTTACTTACTTTGCCAATAGATGAAATAAGATGTTAATAATTTGTCACAAATGCAATAGAAACCCACTTAAAATTCTAAATATTTTAATTCTTTATATTCCTTGAGTTCTCACTCTTGCTTGAATGGGCCTTTGACTTCTTCTGTAGAAGCTCTTTCAGTTAGAAGCAAAATCACAGGTTTCCATTCTTTCAATTAGTTTTTATTCATTGATAAGATATCATTATGCTTTTCACTGGAAAGTTCAAAATTTGCAGTGTCTATCTTGTACCATTTCAAGGCAGAGAAGGGTAGGTCATTTTGAGACATTTAAAAGACCTCCTTAAAAAGCAACTTGACAAAATTACAATGAGATACCACCTCATATCCACTAGAATAGATGAAGTTTTTTTTAATGGAAAATGACAGGTGTAGGGGAGGGTGTAGAGACATTGGAATATGTTGCTGGTGGGAATGTAACATGGTACAGACATTATGGAAAGCAGTTTGGTGCTTTCTCAATAAGTTAAACAAAGAATTACCATAGGACCTCAGCAATTCCACTGCTGGTTATATACCCAAAAGGGTTAAAAACAGGTGTTCCTAAAAGAAAAGAACAACCTTTCATAGGAATACTCAGAGCAGCACTCTTAATAGACAGAAATTGGAATTTATTCAAATGTCCGTCACTTGAGGAATGGATAGCAAATATGGTACATCCATACAATGGAATATTATTTACCCATAAAAAGAGTGAAGTGCTGATACATGCTACAACACGAATGAACCTTGAAAACATGATACTAAGTGAAGGAAGTGAGACACAAAAGGCCACATATTGTATGATGCTACTGATACGAAATATCCAGAATTGGCAGATCCAGAGACAGAAAACAAATTCGTTGTTGCCAGAGCCAGGGATACCATGACAGGAAGGGACTGCTTAGTGGGTACAGGGTTTCCTTTTGGATTGATACAAATTTTCTGGAACAAGATAGTGGCGATGGCTGGGCATTATGGTAAATAACCTAAATACCTCTGAAGTGTGTCTTGTAGAATGGTTAAAATGATTAATTTTATGTTCTGTGAATTTTAACAATTAACAATAATAAAAAAGCAGATTGATCCAGAAAACAGTTCTAGGGGGCCCTAAAGAGGGTGTGAGAGGGTGAAAGCAGCATAGAGAGACAATGATGTCCGTTTCCTTTGCCCTTTAGACTTTCCTGTCCGGGTACTCTCTATCGATACTCTTCTCCAAGAAGCTATCCAGGCATTTCATGACAATGAAACAGTCAGTAAGGCCCCTGAAATTCAGAATGAAGCCGAAGAAAAGCCTCTGCCAGACCCGCATAGGACCGAAAGCCAGGCAAGCGTGATTTTAGTTATTTTTCTTGCACCTCGTGTATGAGATGTGAAGCTAGGTGGAATCTAAGAGATCTCGTAGACCACAGATTGGTGAACTTTTCTGTAGCGGTCCCAAGAGTAAATATCTTAGGTTTGTGGGCCAAGAGGCTGTGATTGGGATCCCAAGAGGCTGTGATTGGGATCCCAGGTTCTAAATCCAGTACTCTTTACCCTACTTTGTGCTGTCTCTCCAGCTGAATAAATTAGCAGAGAATTTAAACCACATCATTTGCATGAGTTGCAAAATAAGTATCATCTAACCATGAATTCTGAAAATAACTGGAAGTTGTCCTCAATGGGGCTGCTTTGCCTTCCATGCTTGGTACCCTTCATATTCTCATCTGCAGGGTGCCAGATGACACACGTATCTTTTCTCTATTCCCTTATGGCTAGCTATGACTGACACCTCTAGGATTGTTCCTTCTAATACGGTTTTCCATAAACTCTGCCTGTTTCTCAGCTTCCATTATGTTTTCAAAATGGCAGTTGCTGTATTTTACATAGTAACTGAAGGCCAACTGAAAGACAGATTCCACCCACTTTACTGTGTGTTTCCACAAGTACAGTTATCACCAAAATTTGTTTCTTTCTGGGAATTATTCAGTCCCTCTTAATATCATTTATGTTTTAGATAAAATAGTATTTTTTTTTGAAACCTTACTTATGGAAATAAAATTAAGAATGGTACGAAAATGACAATATTAAAATCTGTCCACATGTGTGTTTTCTCCCCAAAGGATCTGCAAAATGAAACTTCAGCTGATGTAGTTTCAGAGGAAGCCTTACCGGAAACAGACAATAAAACAATACTTAGTAAGTAAGAGATCAAAACAAGTCATCCATGATTTACATTGGAGGGACAGACAAAACTGTCAGAGCACATGTACATGAGCACAAACATGCTTTCAGGGATAGAAAGGAGAGACGGGAGTTTCACAAAGTCGTCTACATGGTCATGTGACACAACAAGAGAAACACAGAAGTCCCTAACCTTTGTCTACAACTGGGGATAAGAGATAAAAATGGCAAGGAATCTTTTCACACTCAAGTAGTTGCTCATTTTTGTTGTGTTTATGAAGACCACCAGGATATACCATCTTCCTTCTTGCTGGCTTTGCAGGGAGACAGGACTTCATTGTTTCATTCATAAATGCAGGTCTGGGTGCGTGAGTACTATTGGGGCTCTCTGCATGCTACTGCTTTGTTCATGGTGTTGAGGGAGGCTGCAGGGCGTGGTCTCTTCAACCCACCTGACAGTGGTTTCTTAGGTAATGCTCAGCTTATTCCTAACCTTGGGCAAGGCAAATAGAATGAAACTTCCCAAACCGAATGAAAAGTTACCACCCTGGAGATCTGGGTTTCAGTCCTTGGGATCCTTTGTAGAACCATTGATAGAAAACAACTTTAAGTCTTAAATGTACTTTCTTCAATTTGTGCTAGTGAAGGCTCTGCCATATTCAATAGTTTCTTTATATTCTAGAATAAAGCTCAGATCCTCCTGTGCCATCATCACTGTCACCGTCACCGTTGGGCAATGTATAGGTTCCCTCTGAGCATGCAACTCCCCTAAAACAGTCGAGTTTTCCACCTTGTTTTGTTGGGGTTTTTTTGTGATTGAATTTTATTTTATTTTATTTTTAAATTTATTTTTATTGTTGAAAGTATTACAGATGTTCCCCTTTTTCCCCCATTGATCCCCTCTACTTCTCACCCACCTCCACCCCAGGCCTTCCCCATACTATTATCTGTGTCCATGGATTATGCATTTGAATTTTCCACCTTTCGAAAGGAGATAATCTGTCCCTTATTCTAGTTATGTGTTTCTTCCAGATATTTTCAATGATTTTTAATCTAAGTACTGTATAACCTATTTTATCACAAAAGTATAGTAACTATAAACACACTCTGAAAACTTCATATTTTCCCATTGAATTTAACCAAAAACCCCTCTGTCTTCTAGCGTTTTCTACTTTTAGACTTGTTACTTATAACTAGATAATCCAGGAAAATACAAATGTAAGGAATTAACCTTCTAACATGTCTTGAGAAACTTGAGTTATTTTCTGAAAAGAAAACCCCAACAGTATCAAGGTATTTCTCATGATGTTGTCATGAGTGAGCCATACCGAGGGGAGGGGGCGGGAAAGAGTAAGCCGCAGAGTGGCCGGGATCTTAATGTTGTGAAATGGGAGTCAGAGCCATGCCGTGGCGATTCTGTTATGTCCTTCCTCTGAGTATCAGGCATAGCTAGAGCCAATGAGCCACCTGTCCAAAACCACAGACGGTCAGCCGCTCACCTGTTGTTCGTTGTAAATACCAGAGTTTGTTCTTACGGCTTTTCCTGTTGCCAGGTTTGGATACCAGTAAAACACTGAAAGCTCAAGAAGCCAAATCATGTGATAGCTTCTCTAAAGTAAGTATCACAATCTCACTTTGGCTACGAGTGTATCTAAACCGGTCACAATCCCCTGCGCTTTGAAGTGTCTTCAAGTGGCATGAAATGGCAGTTTTCTCCTCTTTGGTTTAAAGTAAATCCGATGGTAAAATATTAGCTAAATCTGAGTTTACTTGATAGTCTTTATATTCTTTATCTCTAAAGCAGTGGAAATTGATGTTCAGTTTTGCCAAGTAAGAAAGGAAAAACACATTTTTTATTTTAGACTTATGCCAAATTTCTATTTATGTGTTTTTCTTTACCACTTAATTTATGACTTTCATTTTCTTTCAGACTCTTTTTACCTTTGGAGAATTTTCCCAGAGTTAATCCTTAGCGTTACTGGTGACTCTACAGAATATTTTATTAATCTCTGAAAAAAATGTGTACAACAATTCACTCACTATTTTAATGGAAACTAATACTTCTGTATATAGTATTGCTTTACTGTGTATGGAAGCATTTTTTTGTTTTGTTTTGTTTTTGTCATCAAATAGAATGGCCAAGTTGATCTAGTGGAATTTCATTTACTTTATTTTTATTACATTTGATTACTTTATTGTGCATTTCATCATGAAAAAGCAGTTTTATAATATTTTAGATTTCATAACTGTTTAAAGGGAGAAAAAGTTTTGGAAGGATATATACCAAACTGTAAATACGGTGACCAATAGGGAGGAATTTGGGTTCAGAGAAAGTGATAAAGGGGGCCTTATAATTTTTGCTCTATGTATTTGAAATACAAATGATCAGGAAGGCTAAGTATACTTTTATATTTACATTTATTGAGTACAAGTCCCCCGAAGTCCATATTCGGTTCCATTTAAAGGGCACACCGTGTTTCATACACTGTTGTAATGATTCCGGATATATCACTGAATGAAAAAGACAGTTTTTGGACACTATGGAGTTTACATTTTATTAGAGGAGGACAGATTATAAACCACAAACACATAAATAAATAAATTATATGATCTATTAGGTGGTGATGACGCCAGGAGAAGAGAAAAAATGGAGTAGAGTAGAGTAAGGGGGATCAGGGACACAGGCCGTGGGAGCAAGGTAAGGCCGCTGCCTCACACGGGGCGGGCCTCCTTCAGAAGGTGAGATGTAAGCAGACTGAAAGAAGATTGAGACAGTCAGCCTGCCGGGTCTGGAGAAGCGTTCCAGGCGGCGAGGACAGCTGGATGATAACCGTGAGGCAGAAAAGTGCTTGGCACCAAGGCGGGAGAGACGTACGGGTGAAGCTAGAAAGAGGCAGGGGAAGGGAGAGGAGTCAGGTCAGCCAGGGCCTTACAGGCAGTGGTTAGGGCATTTGGAGTAGCAGGGGGCGTCTTTGCAGGGTTTTGAGTAGAGATATAATATCATTTAACTTATAAAATGCTCACTCTGGTTGCTGAGTCAAGAATAGGCACTAGGGAAGTTCCTGTCGATATATCAGAGTAGCTTTGGTAGACGAGCCCTTCTACAGATAACATTCTAAGGCTGAGCAAAATGAAAAGCTTATTATTTGAGGGCCAACAGCACGTGGAAAAAAGCAAAGGAGCAAGTAAGCTAGGAGCAAACACCAGGCAGAAAACGTCTGGAATGTGACTACTGAATGAAGAGAGTGTCCCTGGACGAGAGCCGTGCTTCTGCGGGTCATACCGGAGGCGCCCCAGCTGCATGGCCCCAGCTGCACGGCGCGAGTTGCTGGAACTCAAGCAGAAAGCCGCCTCCTTTCTGATGTAATGTATTAGGGGATGAAGTTTAGGATGCTGAAAATTAAAGAGGAAGATCTTGGAAAGGAGGGATCCACAGAGGAGGAACCTCAAAATCTGCAAACACATTTTCCTTAATGCTTGACTGATTCCAACCTTGTCACAAACGATGCTATCTTCACCAGAGAACATGACCATTTCATGTTTTTTCTCCAAATATTTGGAATCTTTTCACTTAGCTGTACTCTACCATCCATTGTTTATTTTCACAGCTCACTGTGCGTGCTCAGCTTGGTGCAAAATCAGAAAAATTGCTGAAGAAAGGAAAGAGTGTTCCTGACATATTGCTAGTTAGCATCATGGTAAATGCTATTAAGTATGTATTATTTTTGTATCTATTTAATATATTCTCTATCATAAGGAGATATATAAAAATAATATAGAAATATGTTTATTTTTAATGTCTAATGAATACTGCTTATCTACAGAAGAAAACATACAGCAAGATCAAGCTATATTTTGTTATTTACATGCTTAATTATATTTCACTTCCTCCTTTACCAACCATGACAAGTTATAAAAGCAAAAATGCAATCTTTTCCCACTTTTCATAGTTCTAAAGAGAAAGAAATAAGATCATAACTTTTAATCCAAAAGCCAAAATCTCGGTTCTGCATGACTTAGAGGTTTAGAAGAGCAAAGTTGAAGTGTGTGCTCTCTTCACATTGTTTTCCAATTTAAAAAACTAAAATACTTTTTAGAGCACCCATTCTCTATGTAGAGGATGCTGCACTGAGGGTCCTTACCCAACTTATGATTTAACAGAAATAAATAAGGCTCACTTGAATTTTTCTAAGTGGAAATGTAACAATTAACCAATTGTATGGTGAAGTGAATGAGAGCCAGGGGAGTTCAGATCAGACGGTCATGACTCCATGCTGGCTTGAGTAGGGCAGGAAGGACTCCCCAGGCTGACACTGTGAGTATCCACCATGTGCTGACCTCTGTGCTAGGATCTTAAAATGTTTCATTTCAATTCATTCTCACAAACACTCTGGGAGGTATGCTATCCTGCTATGTATAGATGAAGAAATAGGTTCAAAGGAGAAACTGCCTGTAAACACAAGATAGAAAATGCAGTTCATACTTATTCATATTCACATAATAGTGAGGAGATAAGTTTGTTTAAAGCAAATGATTCAAAATTGTGAGAGAGAAGATGTCATAGGCAAGAAAGTTGTGTCCAGCTAGTTTTAAATGCCATGTTATGGCCTCTGGAATAGATTTGGAGAGCAGCAGGCACCCACAGAAGGATTGTAAGCAAATGAGTGATTAGTTCACCTACCTAAATTTAGCTATAAAAAATAAAATTCATACAGAATGGGACTGTTATGGATTTGAAAGAAAAAAAAGGCAAGATTCATTGTATTATTATTTCCAAAGCACTTAAGTCTACCAAAATGTTCATGGTTTGTTCACTCTTAATTTAGTCAGATACCTGTGGATCAAGGCTGGATCCTCGATGGTTTTCCCATGACATTGAACCAAGCGGAGCTTCTGGAGGAAGCTCTCACAGGCTGCATCAGAAGCCTCAGAGAGATGGAGGAAAAGAAAGCACAAATATTAACACTGGCTGTTGATACTAAAACTGCCAAAGAAGTGCCTCTTTCTCCTGCTGTGTTTGATTTTGCCATGTTATTAGATATTTCAGACAACTCCTCACTGGCTCGCATGAATGACATCATGGGTAAGTGGGACACCTCTTTCGTCATCTTTTTTTATAATATTGTTTACAATTTAAATTTCTTTAGGACACTCAGTATCCTAAAATTTAATTATTTTCTGGCACTACCTCTCCAGAGTTAGTGTGGACTCAGTCCCACAAAATTGCCCCCAGCTACAGATGTCAGTCTCAGGTAGTGGATCCTCAGGTTACCAACATTTCTGCCCTACTTGACTACAGATGCGAGGGTTTCCATGACCCCTCCTTGGGTTTGATAAATTGCTATAATGGCTCACAGGACTCAGGGAAACACTTTACTTACGATTACTAGCTTATTATAATGGATATTATAAAGGATACAGATGAACAGCCAGATGAAGAGGTACATAGGGCGAGGTCTGGAAGAGTCCCTGTGGAGCTTGGCGGGTACCCTTCTCCCAGCATGTGGGTGCATTCGCCAACCCAGAAGCTCTGGAGGCCCTGTCTTCAGGGTTGTTTTCCCAAAGATGTCTACCGATATTAGTGTAAGCTGAAAGACACAGAAATTAAGGTTATTAGATGAGGGAGAGAAGTTGAAGTGTTCAACCATGCAACTCTGATTTGCTAGAAAATGAAGTTAAGTCAGGATCATGGTGATAATTTAGGGGGGAAAGGATATTTAGGGACTGGCTGAGTTGGAGAGATTCATCAGCCATATGGGAGTGCTGGACAGATAACAGGAGAATAAATCATTAAGATTGGCAGAGGTGGAGCCATTCAAGGTGACCACAAAACCCAGGCTGTGGCCATGGCAGCAAGTGCAGAAGTAGAGAAAAGGGGAAGGGCCAATGCTTGGGGGGAACTGGGCAGAGAGGAATGTTTATCCGTGTGCTAACGTCCTTGACAAATACAGAAAGTGACCTTGAGATGGTGCTTGATGCATCTCCTGAGAAAAGCTCCCACAATTTCCTTCCATCACCCATCACTGATGTCAGTAATCTTCAAGTTTTATAAATAACCTAGAAGCACTATTCTGTATTCTAAATCCATTTTCTCTTTTTCTGCCATGAATGTAGATGGACAACAGTTGATTGCTATATCCTATGAGGGTCCTTCATTTTCTTGAACACAATTAATTCACTCTTCAATGTTCCTTTGCATTGACTGAGTACTTCTAATTTTCTTCTATTCAGTTCAAGGCTTTTTTCCCTCCTCTTCATGATTTTCTACTTATTCTAAATTCACGAGGGTTCTGGGCTTTGTGCTACTAATCCTGACTAGGACTCGATCAGAGCTGCTGAGATTGTTTCTGTTACTGTTTTCGGTCTCTTGTGGTCCATCCCTATAAATTTATTCTACAGAGAAAGATCATAGAGTCTGGAAAGAAAGATAAATTACTTTATTGTGTTGTAATATAATATTAACAAATAATTTTGTGCATATTTGACTTTATGTCTACCCTGTTGCCTCATTCTTAATTTTTGCATCGTGGTGGTGATTTTCTAATTGTTTGCTAGTCTGTTATTCATGATGACCCATCATTTCTCATTGTCATCTCTTCTTAACCCCATGACCCTCTCCACTGAAACCACAAGTCCCTCTTTATTGTTGTATTTTACATTTTCTCCAATTTCAAAGGAAAATGTCAATTCTGATCCCAAAACTACATTCTTTCAACATCTTATTAAACATTTCAAGTAATTTTGGACCAAAGGTGGGGCCGTGCTTATTTGACTTCCTTGCATCAGTACATTTTAGCAGTGCTTCTGCAACTTTGACTGGTTTCCAAATTATCTAATTAAGTAATTTTCATGTCATAGCTGAAGCATTTTCAACTGATGTTCCTCAGCAAGATATCAATCAACATGTAGCTGCTAAAATAGATATGGATGGTGACCAGAATTTAAGAGACCAAATACAGCACAGGTTAGTATAAAATTCAATGTCCTGCTTCATGTCCTTTAAACAGACTGACAATTAGTCACTTTGGGATCATCAGACCTAGGAAGAAGATGTGTTTTCTAGCATTCAGTCTTTTACAGATAAAACAAAACTAAGTAGCTTTGATGTTGAGTGAAATATTTATGTGTTTGCTTACCTAGTCAGAGCACTAGTCATCATAACATGGAGGGGAAGGCGTTCAGTCAGGAAAGCACATCCCTCTGTGGTTACGTGAACTTCCAAGTTCATTATATGGAATCCTAATTCAGCCTCCAATCAGCAAATGCCAATGAATATAGTGAAATTTCACAGAGCTAAGCATCACGCTATAAAGAGTAGTTCTAAAACTACTTCTGCTTTGCTAAAATGAAGTTAAGCTTAAAAAAAGAAATTATTCTTTTGGTTGTGTGCAATTTGTTCATTGGATAAGAAGATTTAGACAATTCTATGAAACCTTGGGGAGTCTAAAAATATACAGAGGGCCAGGGACAAGTAATTTAAGCCACATTACTTAAGCCTTTCATCTCTCAGGAAAGACAGGAAAGTTTCAAAAATCATTCCAAGAATATATTTAAGTAAAACAAATAAGTCTGAACCATCCCATCCCCACTTACTCAAGGATCTCTTCAATTTTGTCTCTAAGAAAACAGGTGAGTAGATGACGTAGGCAGCTCAGGCTGTAGCTGCCATCAAAAGTGTGCTCACTTCTCCCACTGAGTGCAGGCAATGTGTCCTTAGATTTTCACTTAGAGAACTGAACTGCCACTAAAGGGTTCCTGAAATGACTCCATTTTCATATCTTCTTTTACTCTTTCATATACCTCAAAAATATGGTTTGATGGCGTGAAATAATTTCTTCTTTAGAGTGAATATTCTTCCATTGCCTGTAGTGTTCTTTCAGATTTAGCTATATTGGCAATTTATTTTTTTCATTATGCATGTCAGATAAATCATGCTTAATGTTACTCAAATATTTCAATCAATACGTGATATTTATGTAATATTTTGATTTTGTAGAATTATAGGTTTCTTGGACAACTGGCCTTTATTGGAGCAATGGTTTACAGAACCAGAAAATATTTTGATAAAAATCAATGCTGAAGTAGGTAAAGAGCCTTTATGCCAAAAAGTAAAAGAAGTGTTTATGAATGAAATAATAAAAAAAGAGATCAAAGGTAACTATATTTCTTATCATTTTGAGCTTATGTAACCAAAATATGTGGTTTTAATGAATTTAAGAGGAAATGAAAGTGTGATTGCAAAGTTCTCTTTTCTGTTTGGATTACACTGTCTTCAAGTGCCTTCTACCTCTGATTTTAGTCTTCTGCTGCAAATGTTTCTAAGTAAAATATTTTTTCTCTTTATTTTAATTTAATTTAATAAAAAGAGGTCATCTAGCTGAAAGCATTGTTTTCATATAAAAAAATAGGAGAATTAAAATTAGGGATGTTATAGAGAAGGGTAAAGATTTCAATTTGTTAACCTCAGCCTTGTAAGGAAACAGTGAGTGAATCCTCCTTTTGGGAGGGAAATAGTAGGCAGTTTATTTCCCCCAATCTTCCTGTGTTGGTATGAATTTACTGATTATTAACTGCTTATTTATATGTCTGCTTCTGGGATATATATTACCCAAATCAAACCATCCTGATCTCCTTCATCTAACCAATAATAATTGCCCTTCAATTTTTCATAGTATTATTGGAACTTATTGTTTAAAGGAATGTAAAGCTCATCCACTGTTAATGCCAGGCTGCAAGTATAATCTTTCGCTTAAGAAATGATTTGAGAAATGTTTCCCTTTTGTGGATTGCCCCTAATTATATCAACGACTGCAGTTTCTGGATATAATAGAGAATGGTGAAAGTTAATATCCCAAGGATTCTAAAATTGCAAGCTGTCTCTGGCCATTAGATCTGTGACGTACCTCCCATGATAGATCAGTTATCTGACATCAACACAGCACACAGGTATCAAGCACAATCACCATGGGGGGCCAGGACCTCACACTTAGAAAGACTAGCTCCTACATTGAACTGTCTGTTTCCCAGAAACACCCATGTGAAGCTTTCAGACGAAATAAAAACCAATCTATAGGTTATTTAAGAGGCTTAACATGTTATTGGACAGTCAGAAATTAGACTGCGAGGAGGACCACACCTCCCACAGCAACCTCAGAATCTTGGCTGGGAGGCAAAACCAAGCTGGTTCTAAGCTGTAGCCTCAAACATTCTACAGGTTAGAATCCATTTTTCTCAGCTATCAGACTTACTCCAACATTTTCCTAAAGAGTTTACATTCTAATCAATGATTACATTAACAGACTGAACTGCCACTTATTTAAGATCTACAGTCCAGTCAGTTAATTAATCTAACAAATATTTTATTATTAAACTAAATATTTTATTATTATACTAAACATTTACATAATACTCTGTTAAGAAGATAAAAGGATGTGGTGCTTTTATATATATTCTGATGTGAAAAAAAAAAAATGACCATAATATACTGTTAAGTAGGAAAAGGCAGATTATATAGAAAATAGTCTTGTTTTTGTTTTTAAAAGTCTGTCTATTAAATAGGCACAGAAAAGAGTCTGGCCACATATACAGTACTTGGTGGTCAGGGAAGGCCATTTCTCTCACTTCTTATTTGTCTAAATGTTTGATTTTTAAAAACAATAATTATATATTTTATAGTCAGAAAAAAGTTCATTTCCACTTTGGAAAAAACACCTGCTAGAATGAAGCCTCCTTGCTTGTTGGATTGCAAATAGTCTAAGGGTAAAGGGAGAATGTATAAAAAGAAATAGCCATACAGGAGTGTGGGGATTCATTGCCAGTGGATCAGGCAATAACATTGTGGCCATTTCCAGCATGGAGGGCTTGAAGGCCAGGGAGGGCAGGGACAGTGTGCTAGGAAGGGTGAACGTGAATTATGAAAGCCACAGGTCCTTAACAATAACAGGAGCCTGGAAAACACACCAGCCAGCCATGCTCCCCAATCAATACCCTCTTCCATCACATACCCACAGGCCTCGCTCCCTGACTCTTCAAGTCTTTGCTCAAATGCCACCTTCTCCTTGGGCCTGCCCCGCTCAGCACTCTATTCACAACTTCAACGGCCCCCCCACAGCACTCCTGACCCCCTGTTCTTGGTTCTGTTTGTCTTCTCCTTAGGACCTAGCACCTTCCAGCCTCTTCTATAGATTAGCTTACTCATCATGCTCATTGGTTTGCCTCTCACCACTGGACAAGCTTCACAGACAGAGATTTTTCTCTCCTGTTTTACTGTTGGACCTTCAGCAGCCAGAACTGCGCCTAGTATTGTTTGCAGTAGTAGTACTAGCAGCAGTGGTAGTAGTGGGTAGTGGTAGTTTTACCTTATTGTTACAGCCCTTCCTTTCTTCCAAGGCACAATTCAGGTTCAATGAATGGCTGTTTCACGAATGAATGAATTGCTAAAACTTCATTGAGTACTTTGTGCTACTCCAAGTGCTTTATATCTATTTACTCATAGACACTGGCGCTGCACATCGCATTCCCCTCACACCCCACCCCTGCCTCTTCTATCACGTTGCCCTTCACCTTCTCTTTACACTTTTTTCACTTTGTTTTTCCACTGGAAATTTTGTAATAATCCTTTTTTCCCTGTTCCACTACACTAGCTACTTTTCGACTGTTGCCTTTACATCTGGCACCCCATCAACAAGCACCCCCCCACACACACACACAATCCCCACCCCCTTCCCATCCCCATCCTCACCCCCAACACCATCCGAAGCAAGGGAAATGGTGTTTCTTACCAAGCAGAGAGGCTGAAAGTCTTAGGGACTGCATCATTGATGGGACACCCCTAAAACATGAATTTAGCTGTAAATGGGTAAGGACAATTCACATGAGTTTAGGTCGTGTATGATGGTTCCAGTGAGACAGTGGGTGCCTGGAGTCCCTAATGAAAGTCCATATGTTCTTGTCGTCCTTTTGAAGTTAAAAAGCAATTAGAAGAGAAGGAAGCTGAGAATAAAGAGGAAGCCTCCCTGGCTGAGCCCCCACCTGCGCCACCGCCACCCCCGCCTCCCGAGCCGGAGAAAGAGAAGGAAGCCAGCCCCCGGCGCGAGCGCCCCAAGACTCCTGCGGGGAAAGGAAAACCACCGTCAGGTGACTGACAGTAATGTACAGGCCTGTCTGCCGTTGTCTGATTCTCACCTAGAAAAGAGCCACAGATTACAGTCCCAGCCCGTGAACACAGAGTTAGACGCTGGGCAGCTTTAATTGTATGAAACCAAGCTACAGGCCAGGCAGAAGTGGGGGCGCCCTTAGTAGCTACGAGCACGGCTGTCACAGCGCCCAGGTCCTTGGCTAAACCTTCTGGTTAGAACGAGTGCACAGGTGAGAGGAAGAAAGGCACGGAGAGTGAGCAGAAGGATGTTAGCACAGGCCAAGGGACGGACGTCTGTGTGCTGAACGGCAGAGTTTCCGTAGAACATCTCACGACACTGAGAGTTAGCATAAGCAGCTGTCCCCAGCAGGGAACAAAGAGAGACTAGAATTCACATGTGACTTAATCTTCAGTGCGATGGGATTATAAAAGGATAGAAACAAGTACCTGGCATCTCGGTAAACTTATGTGTTTACAATATATAGATATAATATATATGGATAGAGAGCTTGTGTAGAGGATATTTTGGAGCTTAAAGTTTTTCTAGATTCTTAACCACTAAGGACCAATAAGTTATGTGTAGACCATGAAAATAATGACAAAAGTAAAGTGCTTAACTGTTAAAATGATGTGGGTAGAATGTCATTACCAGTTTGGGGCTGCGTACATGAACTAATGTGGCTGTAGTTTGTGGTTTCAGCTTTATGAGTGGCCCAGGTTGTACAGTTGCCCAGGTCTACCTGGGTATATTCTTGAAAATGTATCGTGATTGTATTTCCAAACTTCATCATCTTCATGCTTCATCGACATTTGTGATGGGTCTGAATATTTTTAAATAAAATTTATTTATATTAAACAAATTTGAAGACTTCAGTAACATGTTATGACCTATTAAAGACCATCACATACCAACAAAATGGGGCTTAACTAAAGGTAAAATATACAAAGTCTAAAAAATACTTTTTATCATATAGACAATAATACACAAAGCCGTGAATGAAATATACACCCTTTCCCACTACTTCACTAGGAATTTAAAAAAGCAATTCAGAGATTGGAGGGGAAATGGAAATCTTTAAAATGTTGTGTAGAACTGGAAGGATGCAGTTACCCACTACAGACAGGCCTTCAACCTGTGGCCTCAGCTCTCCCCTCCCTTCTCCCCTTGGCCTGCTCACAAGCAGAGGATCTATGTACCTGAGCCAGGCCCTCAAACCAGTCTCTGGTGTTTCTGGTCATAACACAGTCCAGTCTTTAAGTTTCTGAAGTTTTCTTTCGAATTTAAAATTGTATTCTTGAATACTGTGCACCACAGGAATAATAAAGCTATTGTTGCTTCAAAGAATGGTTGTATCTGTCTCTTTTTCCCACCACTGGCAGGGCTAGTGCCTGGTTTTTAAAAATGCACAGAAGGGTTTAACTCCAGAGGCCTAATTCCTGCTTTCCAACAACAATGCCCATTGGAAGGAGATCTCCGTGCTTTGGGGCATTGGTGGGGCAATAGAACAAGCCTCGCTGCCCTTACAGCTCAGGGAAGCTTGGTTAAGCAATTGTTGGAGGGAAATTTCTAGCAGGTTTGTTTATTTTTATATAAAAATTTATAAATTTTTCAAAAGAGAACATTTCAGAACCAGAAGCCTGAGGCCTCTGAACATGCCCAACTCAAACACCCACTTACAGTAGCTTTTAGGAGTTGAGATGAAGAGAGGAACTATTACACACACACAAAAAATGGGTGGAAATGGGGTAAAGAAAGAGGCATAGTACTACTCATGCTGCTGTTTAAGAATATTTTTTGATATTTCAGAATATATTTTAGAACTGATACAAAAAAAAAAAAAGTGGACAGAGTGCGTGCTGCCCCCTGCAGAAATTAGAGTTGCCTACAGTACTTTATAAGTTCAGTGTCTTGGGTATCTTTATTTTTACCGTCTTTTCTCTGTTGCCTTGAGCTTAAGTTTAGAGCTAGTTAAATAGTTGGTTACCCAGAGTAACTAGAAGCTTATGTAGACTTTTATTATTATTATTATTATTATTATTATTATTAAGCTTATTTCTTTAAACAATGAATTCAAATGTTTGGATTAATTTTATTTATTTATTTATTTATTTATTTATTATTTATGTATTTATTTGTGTATTTATGAGTTTGGAGTTGAACTATTTGGATGTTTAAAGCCCTTTTATAGACGTTAACAAGGTTTCAAGGTTGCTCCTTCTCTGTGTCTTGCACTGGTCTCATTTCTCTGGACTCTAGCTGTTGGATCTGAGATGTTTAAATGTAAGCGATACGTGCTATGCATTTACACATTCTTGTAACTATCACTTCTAAATTCAAAGAATGGGTTCAGATGGAGTCTCTCTAGCACAGGCGTTTAAATTGTCCCATATGTTTATCTTTCTACTGAAGGGAAAAAAAACTATAGCCCAGGAGAAAGGGAGAAAAATGATTGAGTTTGTTTAGTGAGTAATGCAGGATGTAATGAATTTTTTTAAGGAACATATTATTTGGGACACCTTACTAACCTCCAGATCATCAGTTTCCTTCTTTGCCCCTTCCAATATATTTTTGAACTAGATTACAGGGAATCCAAGATAAATATGGCCAATCTACCTTTACATTGCCAGTTACAATCAATGTGAAATGCAACTGTAGAAGTCACAAGGCAACCAAGTGTGTGGCCAAGGAAAGTTCAAGGATAGGATACACCACATCAAAACATGTGCTTATTTAATTCCTCTTCAAGGTGTTTTGGCATCATTCTATCACCGACCCAGTTGTTGTATAGGGATCATTCAGTTGAAAGAAATCCAAACAGAGCCATATGCTTTACATGAATTTGCGACTATTAAAACTCTGCAGCTCTGTTGCATTGAAGAATTTACAATCAAATCCCCTAGGACATGTTGGTATTAAACTAGGACTAAACTTCCATGTGACAAAATATAATAGTACTCAGAAGGCTCTCATTCAAAAAGTTTCAATCCATAGCCTGTCTTCAGATGAATTTTAACTTACACTAAAGGCCTGAGGCATTTTATGGGGTCCACAAACGTAGCTGTTTATCTGTAAGAAATAACATTTGATTGCTTATAAATCCTATAGCTCAGACTATTAAAGAAAACCATCAATGATATTTATGTGTTGTATTTTGTTTAGAACCCCCTCATGGTAAACAAGAATCTCTTCAGGAAGGAAAAGGGAAGAAAGGTGAAACTCCACTCAAAAGAAAAGGTACAGCACATAAAGATAGATGTGATTAAATACAATTCTGCCTTTTCTAACTGTCTCAGTGTATAGTAGTATACACTGAATATTTCTCTTGGGCATTTGTAAACCATGAGCCCCTGCCAAAGAATATAAACTCAGTGTTTCTGCAGCCTGCCTCTTACACCAAGGTCATGCTGAGAAAAGTGATGCTTATAAGCAATAATACGGGGAATACCTAATATACAGAATATCCATTCATCACAGATATTACAGGCGTCATCCTTGGCAAAGCTATGCCATCAGAAAGCTACATACTGAACCACATTTCTTCGGTCCCCATGGAATTGCTTTGACTGATAATCACTTTGGTATAAAATCCTCAACTGCCTTCATGACATAAGATAGCAGTAGACGTGAAACTTGCATTATATTGTTATTATTACAATAATAATCTGGTATTATATTTTCTGAAGGGATAGTATGCCCACTACATCATTCAATAGCCCCTATATGAAATCCTAGGTGATAAATTTCATTTAGAATCAAGAGACAGAAAAATGTTCCTCTCATTTTTAGATAATTAAATGATACCATTAGTGGCTCAGGTTTGGTATCTGTGCAAGGACCTAGATCTCAGTATCTGCCTTCTAATTCCTCTCCTGGTTTTGACCTTCTACTTTAAGTTGTATTTTTCCTGACCTTAATTTCACTTATGGTTGTTTTTTTAAAATTTTATTTTAACTGTTTCTGTGAAATAAGGAGGATCCATTTTTTTAAGCAATTGGCAGTTGGTAGAATGAAATCCCAGCTTCTAAAAACATGTTAGTTAGATTTATGTTGAAGCTGCTGTAGCAACCAATTAATTAGAGATTGAAAAACAGCTGTGGATGGATGCAGACTGTTGACAGTTTCCAGGGTGCATTCAAATGGGTTGTCATGAAGTGCGCGTCTTTGTTTAACTTTCATTATAAATTGCCAATGTACTTGCCTCCCGAGAGTGTGCAGCATTCAGAAAATGAGGTCCTAAAGGACTATCTTTATTTTTGGCATTTAAAAAAGATACATAACAATGAATCTCAAAGACAATATCACCCTTCTCTGGTTATATGACATGATGGGCTTAAATAACAAGCTGTTTGGTGAGTTAACACTGGGATAAAAATTTTAGCTGAAATGTTAAGGGCTATCATTTATGCTCACCTCTCACCTGCTTACACTAATAGAGTACTTTTCACACTTAATTACTCATCCCTTGCTTTCTTACTATGATCAACAAAATCAAAGGAAGGATTATCATAGAATCATCAAAAGTAGGAGTTTACACCTATGCCTGTTAGATACTAAATCATAATAGTACGCATGCTCTAAGATCATAAAAGTTTACAGACTCTACACAAACGACGAGCAGATACAAGTTCAACCAGTAAAATATATACACTAGAGTCACATAGTTAGCTCAGTTCAAGTAACTCCAAGGACTTACAAAATTGTTTGCTCTTATTCTGCTGCAATTCTATTGTGTTTAATGATATATTGAAATAGGCGAAGAAGAAAAAGAATCTCATCTCACATTGATAATTACAAAGCTCTTCCTAGAGAAATCTAAAATCTCCGTAATTAACCTGAAGACAAGTAGAATTTAAGCAGAATAAGCTTCTAAACTCTAAAAGCGTCTATCCTTTAAGGAAATACTGGTTCTTTCTGAATCTAGGTACTTGGTCAGTCACAGTCCTTTAGACCCTCACGGTGCCACTTAACTGGTTTCGTTTCCCCTCCTGATGCCGAGCAGAACGTCTGGCCTCTAGCTCCTCCTTGTTTGCTCTCCTCTCTCCTTCCTCTCTTGTCCCCCTGTCCCCTCATCTGCCCTCTGCCCTCTCCTTTCCTCCTGTCCCTGTAAGGTCTTAATTCAGCCAGGCTTCTGGCGCAGCAGTTACCTTCACCCATGCTCCCTGACTGCAGCAAGAAAAGTTTTCCACTCAGAGACACAGGGTCTCCCGCAGGGAATTTGGGAACGTTCAAGAGCTATAAGCACCTCTTCCCCCCGTCCCCCACCAGCTCTGGCCAGCTCCTGCAGTAACCTCGGCCCGCTGCTCCTTCCCTGGGCTCCCAGGGGCACCAGGCACCACTCCTGTTACAGCTGCCCTCTTTCTCATTCAGAGTGAACAGTTTCCTTTGCCAGTCTTTGCAACAGTAAGTGAAATACACTTTTCTCTACACTCTACACTTTGTAAGAACCATATGTTTGTTGTGGAAGCAAGGACCGAGATGCAAATAAAATATCAAGTTGTTTTTCAGAGCCAAATAAATGAGAGAGGTCGCATTGCTTTAAAAAACAAAACAAAAAACTATTATTGGTATTATTGGTTAATATCTGGGTTGTAGAGAATGAGGTGGTTGATTTTTGATTAGGTGATGCTGCCCAAAGTTGCTTAAAAAGTAATTAATGAATTGCCTAAAGTCCATGGCAAACATAGATTTATTCGTCCACCAGAATCTGGCCCCATTCACCTACTGGTGCTGGAATGTTTTAATATGCATGTTTAAGGTTCTCCTAAAGGGAAATCAGCAGGAGGAAAAGCACCGGGAAAGAAGTCACCTGCCGAATCTACAGTTATGTCACCTACCCCAGTAGTGCCACCACCACCTAAGCCAGGATCAGAAGAATGGGTCTATGTGAATGAACCAATTCCTGAGGTATGACAGTTTCGATTCAAGCTAGTACAATCTATTCTTTTTATTGCTTATAGTAAGATTCACACCATTATTGGCAGTATTCAGAAGGCCTCTCATAGCTTGAGATATATATATAGAGAGAGAGATTATATATATATATACACACACACACACACACACACACACACACACACACACACACACACACACATATATTCATCCAAAAGCAGAAATGATTTTTGGAGACTACTCGTTGAACCACATCTCATGGTTTCTTTACTCCCTCAAGTTTCTGAGTCATGCTTTGAACTGCTGTTGAATGCTGAAACCAGGGAAACAAATGGGTCCTGTGAGGACTGATTTTCTCCCCAGGGACAAGCAGAGATGCAGTTTCCTGGAAAAATGACTTCCCTAGAACACATATCCAGCAAATTATAGCCCTGTTTCCATGGTCCCATGCCCACATCATAATGCTTTCAAATGAAGTTTAACCTCTGACTTCCAGAAATAGAAGAAATGTTTTAAAGCTAACTAAGCTAATAAAAGAACAGGTAGTTATCTGGCCTGAGGACTTTAAATGGGTTCACTAATTAAGGTGAGGAGATGCCCCAAGTGACCCCTGGAAGCTCCATTCAATACTTTGTTCTCTGACAACTGCAAGGCCCAGTTGCCGCCTAGACACACCTGGTTGCCTTAGTAAATAAATCATCTTGGGAAAATCACACAGATGGTCTTCCCTTTAGCTGGCCAGCTGTGCCAGGCACTTGAGACCCAGTTATGAATTGCAGTGATTGTGGCGTTGCTGTTATTATTGAGGTTTCCTAGGTAAATGTCTTATCTGCCCAATTACATCGTAAACTCTTTAATTAATTAATTCACATTGAGGGGGAAATTATAACAGAAAACGTGGAGATGAGAACATGAAATTATGTAATTATGGTTGTGTATAACTGATATCACTAAGCCAAACAAAAGCTACTTTTAAAAATAAATATATTAAAAAACTGTCATCAAAGCGGGATATAGAAGTGGTGGTTGAGAAGGAAATAAAATTTAAATGACATTATTTGGCAGAGGTAGAGAGTGAGGGACAAAAATATTGAAATCCAGTCTTTAATTCCAGATCTTGAATCCCTTGAGAAACAAAATCACAGAGGTCAAGAGGGAAATAGAGGACAGACGTAGAAAAATAAATATTAACACTGGGATATGGCAGCAACTGCCACGTAGACCTTCTAGCAGTCAAGATTCTGGCAGAAAACCGATGATGAATTAAGGAGAGTAGGAAACGGACTGTTTACATATCTGGGGTCAATAAGGAAACCTATAAGGATTAGATTAGTATCCCCAAAAGAGGGATACCTGAGAGCCAGTATGGCCCCTAGGCCTGAGAATGGGTGGACCGCCAAGAGGATCTCTGCATGGAGAAGGCATGTGACAGGAGCTGTGACCTGCAGCAGGGGGGTGCAGCCACCCGCAGGGACTCAGCAGGAAGGAGCAGGGAAATGCACAGCCAGGCCTCCTGTTTCCTGGCTCTCATCACTTGCCCAGGAGGTGGAGGGCAGGTATTTCCTGAAGTAGCTCTCATTAGTTGGGCTTCCAGGGCACCGAGCAGGGTGAAGAGTGGAAGATGGGAAGTTGGTCCAGACGGACAGTGAGAAGACGTGCAGCACAGACCTCTGGGAACCTGTGCAAAACTGTAGAAAACGTCTTTGCTACAACTAGAAGCAGCCTCGAGCCTGTGATCAAAAAGCCTCTTGGGCACCCACTGTGGCCCCCAGACACTGTGGAAGCTGTAGGGAGAGCTGTAAAGTGGCAGTAAGGTGACCGCTGTTCCTGCTTTATGAGGCAGATGGTCTCAAGAAAGAGCTGGGGAGGGGAAGCAAAAGGAGCGAGAAGTTTCACAGAGAACGTTTTAAATCTTAGCCATTGCATCTTGATCTTCTCGCTTGGTATTGCTCTTTTGACTCAATTATTCAGAAGCATTTTCACTTTGAAATTAAGACCTTCATGCTTGTCCATTTAACAGGAGTTGCCTTCGTTTTTAGTACCTTACTGGGAACTAATCGAACATTCCTATATACACTCCATCAAAGCCGCACTGAGGAACCTGCGAGAAGATCAGCACACTGTGCTTGCTTTCCTATATGTAGTCAGGTAAGTAGAGCTTCCCAAGCTCCAGTTTTGTGGTCACAGGCATGACATGTAAGCTCTGGCTCATTCTCTTAATGTCTTACAGAACAAATTTCCAGCAGTTTCTGAGGCGCCCAGATCACAAGCAGGATTTTGTGTCTCAGTGGCAGGCTGATTTCAACTCCCTTCCTGAGGACCTGTGGGATGACGAGGAAACCAAGGCAGAAATACACGAAAGGATAAATGTAAGGGGCCCGTGAGCCGCCGAGCCCGGTCCCACTGCGGACCCCTAACCCAGCCCCTTCTCACCTCCCCGAGGCGTGAGGAGGGAAATGACCTGAGCACGCACTCTCAAGAGCGGTCGTGGGAAGTTCCACCAAGAAGGTGACATTGCAGAAAATTCAGAACAGAAGCGATTGAGGGAGCCACGTAGATATTTGGGGGAAGAATATATCTGTCACAGGGAAAAACCAAAGCACAGAAAGGCACTGAGAGGGGAGGCCACTTGGTGTGTTTGAAGAACAGCAGGGGCAGGAGCGACTGGAGCAGAGTGAGCGTGGGCCAGAGGGGCTGGTGAGGAGGGCAGAGCTCACAGGGGACCAGGTTATCTCAGGCCTCGGAGGTCGTTATTAGGATCTGAATGAGAGCTGAAGCCTTGGGGTCTGTTTTTAAAAGAGTCTATAGTGGAGTTAAATCAGCAGGGAGACCAGTTGGGACACCGGTTGAGAAGCTATTGAAATAAAGTGCAGATATTATGGTGACTTGGATGAGCAGGGTGCCAGAGGATTTAACCCAAGAGGTATGGAATTAGCAAATGTCCTAGTAAAACTGAAGCATTTTACCTGTTCTTAGACATTCCTCAAACAGTAATTAGTAGCTACGCCTTTTCTATCTCTTTCCTACTTATTCACAATGTCAGCCATCCTGTAAACATCTTCCCCATTTCAGCCAGGTGATTGTTGCTAGAAGGAGGAAGTTTTTAAATTAAAAATATCTTTTTTTCCAATCTTTATTGTTGAATGTATTACAGATGTCCCCTTTTCTCTCTCCATTGACCCCTCCACCCTGCTCCATATCTTACATGGGATTTTCTTTCTGATTTCAAATGTATCACATTTATTGTAGATAAATTAGATAATAAAAAAGAAGCAAAATTTAAAATGGCAAATCCATAATACCATTACCATTAGTTAACCATTGTTACTACATTGGGACAATTACTTTTGTAAAATACGTGACTGCAACATACAGATTGTTTTGTAACATTTTTTTTCAACGTAGAACATGTTTTCTTTCTCAATAAAAAACTCATCTACCTCATTATTTTTATGTCTAAAAGATATTTCACTAATTGACTATATCATAATATATTTCACAAATTTCTATTATTATTCACCATTCATTATCATATTTATTGAGCACCAACTTTTTATTATAGAGAAGTATACAGTAAAATTTTATCTAGTTGAATATTTACCATATCCTTAATTATTTTCTTGGGCAAATTTCTAAAACACTGAAATTGCTGAATCTAAAATTCTTTTAAAGTTTTTTATTATTTTTTTAAATCAAATTTATTGGGGTGACATTGGTTAATAAAATTATATAGGTTTTAAACACATTTAAAAACCTGGAAATTTTACTCCAAGAGATTATGAGAATTATTTGGTTTTATGTTTTTTGTTAATCTTGGCCAATTTAATGGACAAGAAAATATAGATATCTTCTGTAATTTGCGTTTCTGTTTTTACAGTTGAGGCTGACTATCTCTTCATAAGTTTGTCATTTATTTTTCTTCCTTCTGAAGCCTGACTATGATTTCCTTGGATTTTTCTGTTGGTTGCCTCCCGCAGGGGCCGACCAGGGCCTGCAACCCAGGTACCTGCCCTTGTCCAGGAGTCTAACCGGAGGCCTTTCAGACGCTAACTACTGAGACACACAGGCTGGGGCTTTTGATGCATAGATTTTGATGCAGCAGCGGAGTTTTCAGGGGAAAGATTAGAACACAGAAAAACAGCATGAATGAAGTGACCTGCAGTGGGTTTGTGGCAGCCGTGGGCGTATGATTTGGTGTCTTTCAGACAGAGTAGAAGCAAGATAAGCATTTGTTGAATGAAGTGCATTAGGTCTAAACTTTCTTTAGGGGCACTTTTAAGAGAGGCAAAGGATTTAAGTTTTATTACACCGAGGTCATTTGAGCCATGACCCTAAAGGTGAAGTTTCTTTCTGCCCAGGATTTAAGAGACCGCCTGTGGGACATCTGTGATGCCCGGAAGGAAGAGGCGGAGCAGGAGCGACTGGACATCATTAACAATAGCTGGTTGCAGGACTCCGTCGGAATAATGTTGAACAATTTCTTCTCACTGATGCAGGTAAGAGCACCCGTCAGGATGACCCAGACTCCTCCCTCCACAGCCACGTTCCTCAGGTTCATGTAGCAGGCCCTTTGGGAATATGAACGGTCTGTTGGGGCTCATTTTCTCACAGCACTCTGTCCCCCCCAAGCATCAAGCTCAGGAAGTTAGCTGAAATAAATCATTTTGACCCCAGCCAGACACACACCAGAAGTGGGAGCATCTCAAGCAACCTCTCACCAGCTCTGCTTCCAGGCAACCTAGAGCTGTCCCCTCCACATTTCTTCAGTTCCCCAGTTATTTGTCAGTATCCATTTTGCACAAATTGGGTTTATCTTTGCTACTCACTGTCTGGGGGTGGGGGCGTTTCATGCAGGTTCTCATGAGTGTGATTTACAAGACTCATTTTCTCTCCACTGTTTTAGCAAATCTAAGCACAGTAGGCAAACACTGCCAAACTGTGAAGTTAATCCATATGTGGGTATTTTAAAACTCAACTTGGTTTCTTGGTAAGGAAAGAAAAATGTTTAGTTTTCCTAACCATTTCAAGATGCTACTTTGAAAAGTTACTTAAATATCCATATTTATATTTAAAATCCAAGAGTATTTAAAGCATATTCCATAATTTAAAACAATATGTGAATGGTCATTTTATTGTATAACATAGATTCGGATTGACCAAATGAATTTCTTCCTGGTTCATTCTTTTAGTAGAAAAGTGTGTTAATGTAGACAATAGCTTTTCAGAAGCAATTTGGCTTAAAGGCTTTTTGGGATCAAAACAAACTTACTGAAACTGCCCTTGTCTTTTGTGGTAGACTACAATGCAAAGCACATATTCTTTTGTTCCAAACTGAATATGAATTGTACGAGACAATTTCTTGATGTCTTATGAAGTAACTGACAATGTTAATTGCTTGATAAATATAGGAATCCCATCACAAATATCCTTGGGTTAGGTGCAGCTAAGGGCTTTGAACACGAGGTCAGTTTTGTTCCTTTTAGGAAAGATGCTTTCTGTAATGAACTAGCCGTAGGGGGTACATCTGCATAAGAGCTTCACTGCTTAAGCCCTCAGGTACCTGTTTAAGTAGCCCTACCAACTAAAGCCAAGTCTGGAGGGCCTGTTTACACAGCCAAGGAGCCAATTAGTCTGACCCCTCCGGGGAGAAGAGGCCGGAAGACTCTTGGGTCTACATTTGTGTTTTACTGTTTATCATTTTTCCACAGCTAGAGGAGCAAACCTCCTCTGATTTTGTATTTCAGTGTTTTGTATTTGTATTTTATATTTATAATATTTTCAGTATATCTCAAATCAACTTACATGTGACCTATGACAGAAGACACTCAGATGTGTGTCAGTGTATTGGTTGACGGAATACAGGTCCAGGAAGAATTCTTAATGTCAAAATAATGAATAATATACCTCCTTCAGACACCATACAATCTTCTGTCACAATACCCAGAGGCATAAAAATGCAATCTTTAGTGGAGTAATACTCAAGAAGTTTAGAAAATGCAACGACACCAGTTTTCTTTAATTTTTATGGAATTTTACATATACACTTGTAGCCGATTCTCTTTCTTAATTTCCAGAAAATTGATTTCAACCTAGGTGTTTTAAAACAGTGTTCACAGAGCTTATGTAGAAAATATGTGCTGATCAGCTTGTGGTGTTTTTTTTTTTGTTTTGTTTTTTTTTTTTTTGCGGGAGGGTTATTAACATTATATTTGCTATTAAAGGCAGAACTGAACCGTTTCCAAGATACAAAGAGACTCCTGCAAGATTATTACAGGGGAATGGAATGCAAAATCCCAACAGATGACACTAAGAAATTTACCCGCATCCCATTGATCCAGCTGGATAATAAAGACATTTTGGAAAGCCAGCTTAGGTAAGACAGGTTGTTATGTCCCACTGTAACTTGTCTGAACATAAAGCTTTGTGACTTTGTTATACTCAGTTTTCGTGAGACTAATTCACAGAGACCAAATTGAGCGTTTGGAGATTTATTGTGCCAGCGGCTGCGAGGGGCTCATGCCCTAAACAGACTCGCAGCCCCAAGCAGCCTTCCCAGGGAGACTATAAAGGCGAAAACCACATTGTTTGGCTAAGGGGGCAGGTGGGGGCTAGCGGAGCGGCAGACAGGAGCTAAGATGAGCGTTCATTAACTTTCTTGGTTAACTATTCCCTGGAATTTACTCCCTGGAATTTTTACAGCGGAAACCTTTTATGAAGTTTACAAAGAGCCAGGAGAAGGGGAAGAGGTCATTGTTTACCAAATTTTGTTGCTCCGCTTATCTTCAAAGTAGGGATTGTAAAGGGTGAAATGGGAGCGCTAGAACTTCAACTTTAAGTTGAATGCCACTGATAAAAACCATACTCCTGTATGTGCAAATCCAAAATTGCTCTAAAAACTGAACTTTTTTTTTCTAACTTGGATTTAAGACTATTGATATGCATTATTTATCCCACTAGTGGTGCATGTTTACTCATTTTCGCTGCAGAGGTGCAATGGGTTTTGCTATGGAGAGCTTCCACAGACCCTGCTAGGGGTATTAGGGAAGATAGAGTCTGTATGAATTCTCAATTCTGAAACACTTTTGACCCCAGGGGTTTCCAGTAAGGGGTTGTGAACTGTTACCAGAAACCCCAGTGGGGCTTGGGGCTGCCGGTCCTGTATCCAATTCAACTGAGGCAGGGTTGAATCAGATAAGGCGTTTATTGAGAGGGCCACCAATCAAGGACAGGGAGCCTAGAGCATCCAAACCTTCTTCAGGAGCGGCCTGAGGGATCAGGTCATATGGGGCAAACAGGCTGGGAATGGAATGCAGCTAGAGCAGTCCTGGAGGTCATTCTTTTGATCTTGGTCGCCTGGGGATATCTCCATAAACTGGTGTATTCACTCCTTTGATCTTGGTCACCTGGCCATTGTCTGATAAGGTGATATCTTAACCCATTGTTCACAGCTGCGCCACCTCCTTAGTTGCTTCAGTCTGGGATCAAGGGGAGTGCAGGGTACAAAGGCCTAGGAGAAAGAAGCCTAAGGGAAAAAAAACTTAAATCCCTGCTTACATAAGTATATGTGTTCTACAGTTTTATAAGTAATATAATTATATTTCAGATTAATTCAGGTGCTCAATCTTTGGAAATTATAAGTGCCCCTATCAGAACCTCTACCACTTTATGAAAGGTCTCAGCTGTTCTGTGTGTGTGTGTGTGTGTATCATATTACGTAAATGAAAACTGAAGGTGTTATGAGTCTTCTTTTACAGGTAAGAAAATTGAGAAATAGTAAAGACTCAGTCATATGTGATTACAATTTTGAGAGACTAAAATACATTAATGGTCTAACATCAGATTCCTGCCAGTAAGAAACTTAACTTAGTGGTAAGGGTGGAATTATATTGCCTATGCAATATAAAAATTTTGTAAATAATTGTTATAGACCCAATGGGTGGGGACAGGGGAGAGAGAAGATTCCAAACCCTGAGAAGCTATGAACAGATAGAAAAATGTCTTTAAGAAGCAGGGGGTGGCCGTGTTGGTAAGTAATGTGATGTGGTTCCCAACCATAAAACATTAAAAGGGCAAAATTTAAGAATTAAACTAAAGTAATAAAAGATAAAACTCAAAATCTTTTAAAAATTATATAAATTAATTTAAAATAAATGAATAAAATAGAATTAAGAATTAAAGTAATATTTTCTCAGGACCAAGAAGCAGATCATGAGAAAGTAAGAAATGGTGGATATGAAAAGGGGAAAAAGAAATTAGATTTTTAAAATAATAAACAGGCACTGAATTTCCAACGAGATGAGCTATGTATTGTAGGTTGAAAGCAGTGTACACACTTCATTTTACAAGCTTGCTCAGTCAATACAGGTAGCAGGAGTTGCTCAAACTGAATGTGGGGTAGTGGATATGTTTTGAAGTCAGATCTGGTTTCAATCCTGGGCCTGTTATTTACCAGCTCTACGTAAGTAATATAAGATAAATGAGCTGTTTTGGAATGTCACCACAACTCTCTTAAGCCTTGGTTTGCTTAACTACAAAGTTGGGTTGTTGTGAAGATCACAGAAAACAAAATCCTCAAAGCACTTAGCACCATGTTTAGGAATCAGAAGACTTCAGATCTAGTCCCAGTAATTCTCATTAGGTGGTGACTATTATTGTTATTGCACAATATGACACTTGCACTGTTCTTACTTACATAAACTATTTTAATTGTGAGTATTGCATATTCTTGCTTCGTTTGTTTTACCCTCCCTAATTCCAAAAAGGATTTGAAATAACCTGAACACAGTAGGGTTATATAGTGACCTGAAGCCCATTTCTTCTCTCTCCAGACTTCTTCCATCCACTCCCATCATGTCCCTGCCATGCCCATATGTAAGCAAGAAAACAGAAGATACAAATACTGGAGAAATATTTAATTCAGCAAGGTGCTAAAAGAGAACTTTGAAATTAAAAACTAAAAATTTTCAAAGGCAATATGAACCATCAGAGCCATCAAAAGAGGCTGAGTTTCAAAATCACAGAAGTAGTATATTCTGTTCTTAGCACAAAATAGCAAGTCAAGCATAATAGGGAAACTATTAATGTTGGCTAGGAGAATGAAAGAGGCAAAAGAACAGCCAGTTCTTATTTTCTGCAAAACAACTCAGCACCAATCTCAACCTTAATCACTGCTGTGGGTCTACTGGAACTCTCAATCAATGCATCAACCAACCCACCAACCAACCACAGTCTCTTTAACATCTGTAGGGAAACAACCACAGTGTTAAGCATTTTCACATAGCTTGTCCACTTTACTCCTTCAACAACATAATAATAACCATTAATCAGTTAATAACTACTAATTAGTATTTACCAATAATTAGTAATAATAACATTATTATTATATTTGTATTATTTCAGGAGAAACGGAGCCTCAGAAAGTCAAGTGACATGTCCCAGTTCCTATCTACTGAAAGGGGCAGAGCTAGCTAGGCCAGAGTTTTTTCCAGTAAATGAATTCTAAACTGAAATTCTTTTTCTAAATGATATGCCACCACTGTCCTCCAAAGCAAGGTGTTAGGAAATGCATGTTGTACTGTATTAAACATCTAAAGATGATCACACAACTTTTGCCTTAACTTATGAAGCATATGACCCTCACGTGTCTTGGACTGAGATTTGACATTATTTGACTACTGAAATTTAAATTGTCCCTGTGGGTGGACATATACTGAGTAGTAAGTAGCTCCTCAGCACATGGCCTTTATGGGAACACTACTCTGTCAGGATCCCAAGCACCCTAAGAATCAAAGAGCCAAGTTCAAGAAACCCTGTCTGATGCTTCAAAAAAAGGCCAGCTGGCTATTTGCTGGGTTCACAATCTGCTTTTTGAATCACTGCTCTGTTTCCTGGCAACTTGACTGCCAAACCAAATGCATATTTTCTTATTGCTCCTGACTCTCCTCCACTAGTCTCAGCAAAGGCATCCTTGGAGCTCCTCTCTCCCCATTCTTTGCCCAAACTGAAAGCTCTTCTCACTTTCTATCACCGGGGTAGATCCCAGTTACAGTGAGCATTCTGCCCTGTGGCTCTCTCCTGTCCCTGTTAGCCTTTGAGATCCTGGGATCCTTAGGGGATAGAATGTTCCCAGGGAAGCTCTGAACATTCTACATGGAACAGCAATGATTGACAGAAGGGGGAGGGAGATGTAACTCTGTGTTCCCACAAAACAAAGAGACAGCCTTGGTCACCCATGTACAAGAGTGGAGAGGCTTCTGGAGCTCTTCCCCACTCACCACCGAAATGTTGTGGCCCCACTGGAATACCCACTTGCAGACCTCACATCTGCCACATCCTGCTTTCTAACTGTCCACTTCAGGAAGCCAAATGCTGGTCAGCTTAAAGAAGTGATGCCCACTTCTGCATGGTTTGCTTGTTCATGGATGGTTCACTCCTTTTTGGAAGTTTATGCCCTGGATAAATTTCAAAATTGCATTACTTCATAATTGCCATCGTTTGATCTCGGCCCTCATAATTACTAAGAATTAAACCTGAAAATTATGTCTTGTCACTTTTTTAGTTTCTAGTTTCCTCTTAGTTTTTGTTTTTGTTTTTTTAAGATATGTTTTATTGATTTTAGGGAGAATCAGGGAGAGGGAGAGAGAGATAGAAACACTAATGAGAGAAACATCGATTGGCTGCCTCCTGCACCCCCCCACTGAGGATCAAGCCCACAACCTGGGCATGTGCCCTGACTGGGAATCGAGCCAGGATCTCCTGGATCCTAGGTCGATGCTCAACTGCTGAGCCATGCTAGTCGGGCCCTCTTCATTTTTTAAAACATTCTGGACCACAAAGATGTGAATATAGTTTTTTGTAGTCTTTTCTTTATTTAAAGAGCTCTACCAGGAAAACTTTGAAAATTGAGATTTAAAGCAAGACAGCAAAACTCACAAAGTAACATGGGCATGGAAATTAAAATTCTGTTAAGTCAAATCTTTATATTTCTTTTTTGTTTGTTTTCCAAAGAATTCCACTGGTTTCTCGAATATCCATTTCTCTGGAATCAGCTGCATCCAAACCAAAACTAAAAACCATACTGAAGGGCAAGACTGATCCCTCGCTAGAAAAAGTAGAGTTAAACTTTGAGGCAGATGAGAAGTTAATAATGGACACCTGGCAGCAGACTTCTTCAGCAGTATCTCACATGGTAAGCTGTGCTTGTTTGTATATATCCTTTCAGTAACACCCATTCATTAAATACCAATGTTGGTGATATGGTATGAATGAAACATTTACACAATATTCGCAAACATCGAATACATTTATATATCCACTTTTTTTCTAAAAGAAATATCAAGTGAAACAATTAAAACAGCAAATATGTAAGATCAAGAAAGGAATGAACCAACATTCAGGTTATTTTTTTATGCTGGGCCAGACAGGGTTCCCAGTGCAGGGACCTAAAGGGCCAAGCAGGAAATGTCAATGATGTGGGTCAAGTGTAAGGCCGTTGCCTGAAGAGGCCTGAGCTACTCGGCCCTAACCAACTTTGCCCTTTAAGGATGAGGCCCTGTATGACCAGATTTTCAGTTTTACAAGAAAATCCAGAAATTCATATTTTTATGTGATACTTACTGATTTTGACATGTTACAAATGAAATCAAATTTTAAAAAATTTACAGAGCCCAACAAAATCCACATCTGCCCTTTCGGCCCCTAGTTGATAACCTCTGCTAAGAATTTTGCATAAGTCACCTGTGGGGTAAGTATTATTATCCTCTTAACGTGGGAAAAGTAAGGTCCAGAGAGGTTAAGAAACTTGCCCAAGATCACTTAGCAGGTTAAGTGTCAGAGACGAGATTTGATTCTGGGTCTGTATGACTTCAGGGTTCATGTTCCTTCCACGTTCCCTAGGAGGTAAAGAGATGCTAACCCCTGCCTGCGACGGGCCTGCACCAAATCAAAGGGGAAAGGAAGAGCATACAGATGATGCTGATCTAGGGGGGGCTTCAGCCCACACCCAAGGCGGCTGAGTTTAACTCGGATGACCACTGCCCCTCAACCTCCAGCCCTGGGGCCGCCAATGTGGTTTCCACCTTCGTTCGGTGCCAGTCCTTCTCTGATTTCCCCTGAACTATCAAATTGGAACAAAAAGCAGTGCCAACTTTCCAAAAGATTCTATGGAAGAGGCAAAAGAGGATCTTGCATGACAGTCTCTCGGTGAGCAGCCAGGGCCTCTGGTTGTGCTGTATTCCTCTTACCCGAGACTAATTCACATGGAGGCCAAACTGACCCTTTGGAAATTTATTAGCCGGCGACTGCGAGCGGGCTCCTGCCCTAAACAAACCTGCAGCCCCGAACAGCCTTCACGGGGAGAATATAAAGGCAAAACCTACATTCTGTTTGGCTAAGGCCGGGCAGGTGGGGGGCTAGCGAAGCGGCAGACAGAAGCTAAGATAAGCATTAATTAACCTTCGGTTAGCTATTCCCTGGAATTTTGTGGGCGGAAATCTTTTACAAAGAGCCAGGGGAGGGGAAGAGGTCACTGTTTCTACCAAATTTCATTGCTCTTGCTTATCTTCAAAGTAGCGATTGTAAAAGTAGAAAATGGGAGTGCAAAATGGGAGTGCAAAATGGGAGCGCTACACTTCAGCTGGGCATGTCCCAAGTCCCTTCCTGACCAGGGCCCTTTTCTCCGACGTCGTCCCACAGCAGCCTCAGTGGCTCCTTTCTGTCCCCCACACCCTCTTTTTCGTGCTCCTACTTCTTTTCTCCCTCCCAAAAGTGATCGTAAGCTCCTGTCATTGTTTTGCTTCTTTTTAAAACCAGTTTAGTGTGCCTTTTGGCACACATTATGAAAGTGCATGAAATATAACTTCATGGCTTAAAGAACGTACCCACATCCTACTCATGGAACCTCCACGTGGGGAGAAGGGAAAAGGCCTGTGCCTGCCAAGTCCTTGTGCCCCTTCCCAGCACTAACCCCCTCCATCCCTGTGAAAGGGAACCTCGGTCTTGCCTGTTTAGTAATCAGTCCCTTGCCTCTAAACAGTATAGTTTAGCTCTGCTTGCTTTTGAGCTTTAAATAAATGGACTCATACCTTTTATCTCTTCGTGTCTTCTTTTGCTCAATATGATTTGTGAAATTCATCCCATCCTGTTGAGTGTAGTTGTATAGTATTTCATTATATAAATAGATCACAATTTATTCAACCAGATACACTCTGGGGCTCCCAGTTTGGTGCCATTTTGGCTACTGCTGCTATGAACATTCTTGTGCCCATCTGCTGATGCACATGTGGGTATATTCCTAAGAGTATGTGCTGTCTTCAGTGTCAGTGGACAATACCATACATGGTACTTCAGCTTTCAGAGGTAATACTAAATCCATTCCCCATTTTACGGCAGCAGCATCTTTGTCATCAGTTGGCGACCGCATGTCATTAATTAGATCTGCTGCACTCCTCTATTTGCCTATCCTTGTACTCAGCACACACAATATAGTACCACTTATATGTTACCTGGGGGAGCAAATCTCCCCACCTTGCCATCTACCAAGAGCATTTCGGCTCTTCTAGGCTTTTTGCCTTTCCATGTAAATTTTCACATCAGCTTGTCAAGATTCATGAAAATGCCAGCTGTAGATATTCTTTCAGAGAGCGTTTACCAGATGATGGAAATTCCTTTTCATTTCTAGCTTACTATGAAGGTTTTTAAATGAATTGTACTAACAAATGCTTTTTCTGCATCTATTGAGATGATCGTGATTTTTTTCCTCCATTTTATGTTATTATGAAATATATTGATCAATTTTCTAATGTTAAACTTGCATCACTACCCTGGAATAAGTCCAACATTGTAATGAAGCATCATCTTTCTTACATGTTGCTCAATGTGTCTTCCTAATAATTGGTTCAGGATTTTTGAATTTTTGTACATGTAACTTGTCAGCTTTCAGCATCCAGATAACCCTAGCCTCGTAAGTTGAGTTGGGATATAGCTTTGGAAGATTATGTGGAAGTCTGAATTATTTCTTCTTGAAATATTTGGTAGCATTTGCCAAGAAGCCACCTAGGCTTGTAGGTAGTTTGTAGGAAGTTTGTATAAAGAGTTTTTTGTTGCTCCTTCCACCCAGAAATTCATTTTCTTTGATACAGGGTCATTTCTATTTTCTCTTTCTTCTTGGGGAAAAAAACTAGGTTGGTTTTGGCAAGATTTATTTTGCTAGAAATTTTTCCATTTCTAAATTTTCAAATTTATTGGCATGAAGTTCTTTAAAATATCCTCTTACATTTGTGTTACTATAACACAGTATATTATCTACTTTGATAATATCTACCTTGTGCTTTCCCCCTTCCTTGATCAGCTTGCCCAGAACTTTATCAATTATGTCAGTCTTTTCAAAGAACTAACTTCCAACTTCATTGATTCATTTTACCTTGTTTTTTCTTAATTTGATATTTTTTCCTCATTAATTTTTGGGGGAATTATTTTCCCATTCGAACTCTCTCATAAACTGACTATGTTGCTTCCTATCTATTCAGTGGGCATTAACCATTTCAGCTCCTTGGGTAATGCCATTTTTCTCTCCTAAGTTCTGTTTCTCCTTCCTTCTATTTACATAAACCCTATACTTTCTTTAAGTCTTCAGAACTAGTTTATTCTTTGATTTCCTGGCCAGTTAGTTGCCTATTTTCTGAAGCCTTAGCCTTCTGTGATCATTTGCTCTCCCAATTCTTGTAACAGTTATTGTCTCTTCCATTCATTTGGCTCTTATTATCTAGATTATTGTTTGTAATTTTCATTTTGTTATTTCCTTGAATACTAACTAGATTCTAAAACTTTTATATACCCTATACCTAGCATAATGCCCACACCTAACATAATACTAAGCCCTAAATACAGTCTTGGATGCTGCTGCTTCCATACTAATGATGCTGATATTAATATTAACAATGGTGGCAATGACAGTGATTATCACCGCAAAGACCACAAAAGCTACCAAGCACCAGAGGGTAGGAAAACAGATCTAGGAGTCCTAGGAAAAAAAGTAGGAATTATTATTTTTATTGCTAACTGAGTTACATAAACATAATTTACAAGTCTTATGAATCCCATTAAAGTTACCTGTGGGAAATGACATTTTATAATATGACACATAGTCATTTAAAATTTCTAAAACACTGTTAGAAAGAAAATATCCTACAACACAAAGAACACTGGCTACTCCTCTTGATGAACCTATGTGACTTTGGGAAAGTCTTCAATTCTTTCAATGTATAACATGGAAGACATTCCACCTACCTTCTCTTTCTTGGATAGTTGAAAAGATTTAATGAAATAATCATGTATATGAAAGTGTTTTAGAAATTATAAGTACAATAGATCATTATGTTAACATATTCAAATTGTACTATTTTCCTTATGGAACTTTTAAAACCATATAGAAAGCATAGGAGGAAGGATTGTTTAGTAAGTAATATTGCTCATAATTATATTTGAGTCCTGCTTTTATGTTTCTAACAGGCATTTATGGCTTTGATGTCACATGACCTTAGGAGATTTTGAGTTCTAAATTAGACAGGTGTGATTCAGTAAATTGTTGCAAGGAAAACAATGCCAGCTGAGATTAGTGACTCTGAAATGAGGACACTTTAACACAAGCTCTCTTCTACCCAGCAGTTCTACCAAGAGCTACTCATTTAGTATGCTATGTTAACTTCTAGCAAAACTTTCTTCTAATTACTAGGTAGGCAGTGATTTCAAAGAAACTAGTCATATTTAATGCCCACAATGCCAAGGCCTTATTTCTAGAGTTGCTTCAGCCTTCCAAGCTAGACTGGTGGGTGTATTGTGAATTATGTTAATTTTTTTTTTAAATTTTTTTTTTTTTTTTTGAGAAAGACCCAAAGGCCTTTGAAGGAAGTGAACAGAAAAATGAAGATGGTGATAATTATCATCATCATCACCATCATCACTACCAACACAAGGTTGTTTACAGGGAGAGAAATCCAATTTTAAAGAAAATTGCTAACTTGATGCTTTGCAAGAACAGATTCAAAGATGAATTGCTTGCAATTTAGGGGGCAATGTTAACAAGCCTGCTTTCAGTTTTACGAAGAATTTGGAAGTACAGTGTATATCATGAAGTCCATTTTTATCAAAAGAGCATCTGATTGAGAAAACACCCTGGCTTGCTCTTTGAACCCTTTCTGTATCCCTCCAAGGTTCTGCTGACATTGAAGGAGCTGTGGGTGTGTTCTATGGAATATGATTATTTTAAAAGAAATCCCATCAATTAACAAGCATTTCCTGGCTGTCCTTATGAGCATAGCACTGTGCCATATGGAGAATACCAACAAGTAGAACTGGCCCAGCTCTCGGGAGCCTGAAAGCCCATTGGAGGGTGGGGTGACACTTAACACGGAGCAGCTGGGGACAGGTGTATGCCAAGCCCTGGGCTATGAAGGGTAGCATGAATTCGGAGAGGGCAGGAACAGACTGGTGGGTCTGGCCCAAGGACTAAGCTCCTTTGAAGACAGAGACTGTGCCTTATTCATCTTTCTGTTCACTCCCACTCAACCTCCTCTCCCTCCTCCTGGCCCCTCACTCAGTTCTCCCCAGAGAGAGTGTGAGGCTCGGACACAGTGAGCACTTGAATACGTAAATGAGTTCCCATGAGCCACCATTTCCTCGCCAGTTGCCTTCTTAAGATGTGAAAGCTGAACCATAGGTGGCTCCTGTCTCCAGGGTGTGTGCAGGTTTTTTGTTCCTTTTGGGAGTCTTTTCTCAGCTCTCATTTCTCAGGGTTACACCCAGAAATGACCTTCACCTCTCTAGGGGCAGTCGGACTTACTTCAAAAGGTCCAGTCTTTCTAACTGTCCCAGCTTCACAGGCCCCAAGCAAGGTCTTCCTGCTGCCTGAAGCACAGAGCCAGGCTCAGGAGAGGTGAGGGGGTTCCTGGCAGCATCCCGCTCTCCCCATTCATCAGTTATTATGGGGTGGCCACACAACTGATCTCTCAAACCAGAATACGCGTGAGAATGAAAGAAGGGGCTTGCTGAGATGGAGAGAAGCTGGGAGTCCCCCAAGTGGAGGAAGCCAAGAAGCGACAATGAGGTTAGCCTGCAGGACAGGTCATCCTCACAAACACTGCACCTTCTTAAGTGATGTCTAGTGTTAGAGTAGGAATGATGCCCAGGACTGAAGTGTCCACAAGCCCAATTCATACAGGGCATGCATTCCCCCAAATTGGTAGGGGAACATGAAAAATTCTTACCCATTTTAGGCATAAAACAAAGATATACATAAAAATACATAGGCAGATACAATCTCTTTTGCAGTATTCAAACTTGATGGAGTGGGATGTGGTTGGAAAAACTGTTTTAGAAAATCCACCCTGGCCGGTGTGGCTCAGTTGGTTGGGTGTCGTCCCATGCACTGAAAGGTTGTTGGTTCAATTCCTGCACATGCCCGGTTGCAGGCTCAATCTCCAGCAGGGGGCATGCAGAAGGCAGCTGATCAATGTTTTGCTTTCACATGGATGTTTCTCTCTCTCCCTCTCTCTTCCTCTCTGTAAAAGTCAATAAAAAATCATTTTTAAAAATTCCAAAGCGGTCAATAACAAAAAAGTTTGAGAAATACTGATATAGGAGAATGCCCCTGATTGAAGGCCAAGAGATAACAGGAACTTGGAGGGACAGGGGCAGTTAAATACATAGGGTCCGAGATTAAAAAGAAAGGAATTTTTGCATAACCAGGGAGCTGTTGCAGTCTGGAGGTGGCAATGAGGAGATGTAAGGATGCACCCATTGCAGGTAGGGCTTGGGAAGGTGAGCGGCCTCCACCCAGATGGCCACATGGGTGCCTCATCTTAGGGTAGGGCCAGGCTTCCACTTAAGAAAAAAGTCAGAGGGCACGTTCTGTAGGGACTGAACACAGGGCATGGCTGTTTGTGGTGATCTCAGCGGAGTCACGTGAGAACTGAATCCAAGTGGTTACCATATTTCACAAATGGTCCCCTAACTGAAACATTGCTCTTATACAACCAGGTGGCTGCAGAAATTCATCAAAGGCTCCTGGAAGAAGAAAAAGAAAACCAACCAATAGAAATAAAAGAGAAATCTCCTCAGATGAATGCTAATAAGAAAGCCAAAAAGGAACCTCCACCCAAGAAAAAAAATGCAGACAAAAAAGAGAAAGGGAAAGGTATTTATGGTTTCAGCAACCGGAGCTGTGGATGCTTAAACCTCACCTTGGTAGAAAACCAGCATTTAACCAAGCACACCAGCCTCTTAGGCACTGAATGCTCTTCGTTAGGTTTAACTTGGAGGCTCAGGCTCCTGTGAACTGTGGTGTTGGTTGGCAAATCATATTGTGTACCAACCCTGCCTAACTTGTTTATCCAAACAGCCAGTATATCCACGGTAAAATTTACCTTGAAGCTGTTTTTGAACATGTTAAAAGAACTCCAAGACGACACTGTGTAATCCGAAAAGTGTGTGTAAAGGGGCTGACACTCACTGCAGTAACTTAGAGAAGGTTAAAAGCTAATTATATGTATGTAAGTTTAAGGTTTAATTCAGGTTTCAGGTTTCATTCAAGCAAGTCCCCTCCTGGAGGCCTTCTGGAGAGTAAAGAGGAAAGAAAACTTGGGTTGGGAGAGACCTCCACTTAACCTTGGGGATAAGCTCCACCACCATCATTATCTCCCCCCTGCATGCTTCCATGTGTACATTTTTGCAGTGACTTGGGGCAAGACAGGAAGAGATGGAAGCACTTGAACACCAGTTGCTCCACTCACCAATTGCTCATAATGTGTGTTAGGCATCCGCTGTGTGAATCGCAGTCCGATGCATGCTGAGGACACAAGGTGAATTTCAGAAAAACAAAAGCATGTCCCCTCCCCATCAGAACTGTAGTCTAGCAGCAGAGCCAGGCACCTGGCCTCGCGTTGTTATTTGGGAGAGGAGGTACAAGTCCCTTGAGAACAAGGTCGCCTCCCTTCATCTGAGGGGCAGGGAAACGCTTCCCAAACGGAGTCCACTTAAACAGCAGCGGGTGGGCAGTATAGCACAGCCCCGAGAATTGGGAAGGAGGGTGGCACCTGATAAAAACGGGGGAGTAGAACCCTAATAAACACACACACCGCTTCAGTCCGTCTCAGATGATTAAACTAAAAGACATAAGCAGCATTTGAAGGAAATGCTTCAATTTACTTGAATGGAATAGCTAGTTGAGTCCAATCCCTTAATTTCACAGGCGATAAGGCAGAAGTGCAGGGGGTTAAGCTGTCTTTCATGTGTAACTTATACATACAACCACTATTGCAACCAACACATCTTATTACAATTTCTTTGTTTACACTTATGTCTTCTTCAAAAGATTTAAACCCCTTGAGGTAGGACCTTCAAGAACAATTTACTGAACTAAGTAGAATTATGTAAACTGGGCCTGCAACTAAGAATCACAGTGTCAAATTCTCCAATACCAACAAATTCTTATTTTCTAATGCTCTTATGTACTACTCGTCATTAAATACTAGTTACAAGGTAATTAAGTAGATTGCAGATTCCTGACCATCAGCTACATGTCAGCCATTTCTTCTTGAGGTTATCCTCTGGTCTTTTCCTGATGAGGACCTGGGAAACACTTGGCTAATATAAGCAACCCTTATAGAGTGGTCCCTTCTGCAGGTTAGTGTGTTGGGGTTTGCTAATATCCGTCCCCAGACTCTGAATTGCAGCCTCTTTGGAGTCGGTAACCATGCCTGCACTTGCTGCATGACCTCATTTTCCCATGATGCCACGCAAATGGAGCTTTTTAAATCTGTATCCAGCCCAGGTGCCATGTGGAGAGTTTTCAGGGAGAGATTATCAGTATTTCATAGCTCACACTGCCAGGACCTGGGTTTTCCCCTTTCCAAATCGCTAGCAGGTTATAGCTCTACACACATTACTTTATACTCATGTTGTCCAAGTACCATGTCTGTGCACTTGTTTGTTATAAGTTTACTCGGCGGATTTCCTTGACCTTTCAGGGAAATCACCACCTACAGCAGAAGCCCCTCCTATAACAGTAACACCAGAGGAGATGGCCGAAATAGAAAAGAAAAATGAACTGAGACTCAAAATAAAGGAAGAACATCTTGCTGCCCTGCAATTTGAAGGTAGCAATTGAAAGAACTAAGATGATCCTTTTCAGTAGAACATAGACCAGTAAGCAGACAGCCCACAGCCAGCTCAAACTGTGTCTATGGGGACACAGAACAAACTGATTGAAAAGTACAGCATTCAGTTGGTTGTTTTCATACGACCCATAGGAAGACCAGATTTGACTGTTGTATAATTGTCTGCTAGGATCTCAAGAAGAAACAAAGAGACTTTGGGAAGGGGTCAGGAGAGCGCCTGCAGTAATTCATAATCTCAAAGAAGAGAAACACAAAGATTTTAGAGTTGGTGTGATTTTACAGATGGAAAGAAGGGTTGGGGCTACCTAGGTAGGTGGCTTTGTATTCTAATAAGAATTACTTCAGCATCTCATTAGAAAAACAAACCCTATCCAAGGTGAACAGGCCCTGAAAGTGAGTTCTTGGGAGCAGAGCCCATAGAAGAGCCAGTCAAGGATCAATAATGTCCAAGGGCCTCCTTCTCCCCAGATAGCAATGACTCTACAAGACAGTCTCCTCCTGGCTCTTCAGGTTGTCTTATAATGCATTGCAAAGTGGAATTTGAAAAGATCAGGAAACTGAGTGAAAGTATCCTAATTGGAAAGGAATCATGGTCAATATATTAGGTGACAAAATCATAAAATTACATCATTAGGTCGGCTGGGACATGTTAACTACTCAATAACCATTAACTGTTACTGATGCTTTCCATCCCTCACTGCTCTCTTTTTCTCCCCTTCTCCCATCCCACTGCCACTTGCCTCCATAATCCCAAGAGTGAAATCTGAAGTAAATTGAACACAGGAAGATCTTTGGGGTCAGGAAAGGCAGGACATGTCTTCTCCCCCACTACCCTTTCCCACCTCTGCTTTCAGTAGTTAAGTCTATTTCATCTTTCAGTTTATTCATACGTGATCCCTGCTGTGCCTAAATTCCCTCCTTACACAATAAATGTTTACTGGGTTTCCACTATGTGCCAACCCTGTAATAGTTGCTGCAAACACACTCATATACACAAACACAAAATTAACAAAAACAAAACCCAATCTGGAGGAAGAAACTGTCAATAATCCCTTATAATATGCTGTGCTATTGGAGATTGGCTTACAAAACAAAGGGAGTAAGGAGTATGGAGGAGGGTTGGGGAGTGAGTGGTCAAGAAAGACTTCCCAGCAGGGAAATTAACAATTGAGCTGAACTGCTAGAATGTGGAGAAGTTTGCCCAGGGGACAAATTGGAGCAGCGATGGGAGGACAGAACTAGGTGACCTGCAGGGAGTAGCTCGGGAGTCAGACATATTCTGGGAAGGAGTAACCAGGGACATCATAGAGGGTCACATAGACCTTGCCACAAAAGGGTTACATTTTCTCATATGGCAGCTGGGAGCTAGAGAAGAATTCTGAGCACAAGAGCAACTGTAATCACATGTGCAGGCGAGACCTCTCTCTGGAGAGTGTGGAGATAGATTTGGATTTGGGTTGGGAAAAGGAACTTAGTAGAAATAGGATTGAGGCAATTGCCATAGTTTAGGTGACATAATCAGTGCTCAGACTAGACCAGTGATAATGCAAAAAGTAGTAATGGAAAAAAGCAAAGAAGGAAGATGGGAAAGATTTTAGAGGTAAAATCCACACACCATATTGTGTGCCAGGGCCAGCAATAGGCCCTGGGACACATGGACTTGACCCTAGTTTTCCCAGTGCTGAGAATTGTCTTTCTCAATAGCGTTGCCATCCCAAAGTTCTGAAGCAGGGAGATCAAGAAACTCCCCCACCACTCCTGAAATTAGGAAATTATTTATGTTTTTTCCATTCCAATTTATCAAAGAGTATATTACTATAAAGTGCAATAAGTGTAAACCTCTACTACATTTTTGGTTTAAATAAACTGTCAAGTGACTCTACCCCATGTTACATCTGCTTCTCAATGAGATGAATGAGTATTACTTATCCATATTTATAGATTAAGTTTGCGCCTAAAGCTTCATAGATTGAAGTTTAAAATTGAATTCAGTTCATCAGAAAATGCATGTACATATAATACATTAAAAAATCCTTATTTCTCTTTTTAGAGAGAGCCACCCAGTTCCGACTTGAGCTGATAAAGACCAAAGCATTATTTTTCCTTGAAAATCTAGTAACAAAGGTGGTTGATGTGTATAAACTCATGGAAAAGTGGCTTGGTGAGAGGTACTTGCATGAAATGGCCAGGTAAAGTACTGTAGGACTTTTTAAAAAGCACACTTTGGTAATCCCTGAAGACCAAAACTGACAAAGATTTCTAAGGTGTATGCAAATGCAAACTGCATTTACAGATAGACACGGTGACCTTTTAGACAATCGCATACCTTTGTATTGACTCTTTCCAAATGGTAAACCGCGTTTCAAAGGGTTGCTTTGCAATATCCAGTCTTCCTCATTATTGAAAGAGTTCGGTTTTTCACACTGCTCAATGAGGACCTTAGTTTACAGGGTAAGATTATAGGTCATTTTCAGGTATTTGACAGAAGTAAAATAATGTTTCATATCTTTCTAATGCCGGACTTATTATTAGTCAGGGCCAGTTATGGAAGGCTGAAAAGTCATGACAAGTTTTACCAGTCATGCTGATTCCCTTGAAAGGGTCATAACACCCTGTTCTACTTCTCTGTTGGGTTCCAAAGGCTTTCCAGACTCTCGTTGCTCATGAGGGGCAGTGAGTCTCGTCCTCTTAATTCTCCCCTAAAAGAAGTAAAGAAGCACCTGAGCAGAGTAGAAATAGCCCTCAAGTGAGACTCAGGAGACCTGACGGTCTGGGAGGCCTGGACCCCCACATTGTCCACAAATTAGCAGCGTGCCTAATCCCTGCAGGCCCCTCGCAGCCTGTAAAAGGAAACACTCCAACCAGGGTATTTCACAGGTTTCTACTAGACCTAGATTCTGGTACACTACAGCTTGCGATAAACATTTCCTAAAAATTTGGAAGTTGCTATATACATAGGATACAGATGGAAAGAACTCTCAGAAGCAACAACTGCCACCTAAGAGACTGTGTTATGGTTTGTTTTCTCCAATCCTTGTCTCATAATGAAGGTTCTCTTGTGAAATCTTTAACCCATTTGTTTATATCTGTTGCTTTATGGTCACAAACACACACGCACACACTCACTTAGTTGGTAACCTTACTGCAATAATGCTTAATTTTACTACTGAATAGCCAACTCCGTTGCCCATCAGCATTGCAGAGCAGTGATGCTCAGCTCTGTCCTCTGCCTGTCACTTAGAAATGAAAACATATTTTCTTCATTCTTAGGAGTCACAGCTCTCAATCATGTGGCCATCACGTGTAAATGCTTTTTATTTTTATCAGATGTACTCACATTTCTCAGATGCTTATCGTGTATATGTGTATCTCTTACCTCTGAATGTAGCCACACGAAGTTGAGACCTAGGACTGTTCAGCTACACTTTCTGATTTGGTTATTGCAAAAATTCTTCAGAGATTAAAAAAATAGAGCTCTCAAATTCCTTTGAACTTCAAATCCCACTTCAAATCCTAGCATTTTTTGCTAAGATTACTCTTGGTAACCTTTCACCAGATGGCGCACTTATTTTGATGTACCAGTCATGGCTGGCTCTCATCTGCATTGGAGTCCGTCCCCACCTACCAGTTGTAAACTCAGTTACCCAAAGCCCCTCTCCCCCTGCACTTTCCAGCACTCAAACACCATCAAGCACACTAATTAGATAATGCAAGCTCTATGGACACACAAACACAGCTTGCCAGAGTTGAATTCAAGGGTGTCTTTTGAAAGAAAGCAACTCATACTATGTTTAAAGTTTTCAGTATGTGATTATTTTGGTGTTCCTAAATTCTGTAAGGGCAGATTAAACATACATTTTTCTGCCATGTTCAATCTTTGTTGCAGGCTATAAACAACATCCTTCCAGCCATACAGCGATACTGCACCTACTATAAAATTTCTCTGGCCTTTAAAATGGCCTTTCATGAGGGCCATAACTATAATCCCCAGTACAGCCAAAATCCACGCCCTATGTGATTTCGCTTTATCAGCCATAAGGTATGAAGTTATGCCTGATTGGCTCAGTTGCAAAGATAAGGACATTCAGGGAACTCAAGTAACATCCCCAAAGACCCATGACCAGAGCATGGCCTGGAATGAGAGCTCAAAGTCCAGGGCTGTATCCACTGCACCACAGTGGTTCCTGACTATTGCTGTTTACTCTTAAATTTATATACGCTTGTATACATTTGATTCACATTATAATTTATCATGATTCCAAAAAACTGTGTTATTCCAACAGTCGTATATTATAGGGTTTTTTCCTGGCATATAACCATATTCTGGTTCATACTTAGAATGTAATATATCTCTTGACATGATCTTTCTTATGTAGTAAAATATGTTCTAATGAAACATAACCATATTTAAAGAAGTACCTTCTTGTTTAACTCTGTATAAAATGTGTGACTGTTAGCTCTGCAACAAGCATGTATTTTGATTCTAATCTACATTGATTTATTTATACCCTGCCTTTTTACAAATGGATTTGAGGAGAAATTAGAATTTTTAAACATGCAGATTGAATTGTCTAACTTAGCTGTAGAATGTCTTAACTTGGCGTGTGCATCTAATAAGCAAGCAGTGTTAATCTAATCGCATCTCCAGTGATGATAACCCTCTTCGTTTTTCCACTTTCAGTGTGGAAAAGTTAACTGAGGTAGCTCGCTATCACAATGAAACGTCTACGAAAATTCAGAACGAGCTTTATTTAGACCAAGAAGCCTTCTTCATCAACGGCGATGTGAAAGTCTTTCCAGATCCCCCTCCCCCCATTCGCCCTCCGCCTGTGGAAAGGGAGGAAAATGGCACCCTGACCATCGAGCAGCTGGACAACCTTCTAGACCAGTTCTTAGATATAGCACCTAAAGGTAAGAAAAGCAGTTATTATGAAAAGAGCCCAGAGAATATCAAGATTAATGAGGATGGCAATCTCTCACCTACAAATAAAATCAGCCCTCTGGGATTACACGGCTCTAAAATGAGCCCTTGCTTTGCTCTAATTTATCTCAGATCTGCTTCATACAACATAGATCTGAACTGAGCAAATGGGAGAAGCGGGGTGACTAATACTTTGGCAGTGTGGTGACCCTCGTTCCTGGCTGGCGAGTTGGTAAACTTGAGCATTCCTCCACCTGGCCTTTGAGGGACAGCCTCCCTGGATGCTTCCAGTTTAAGCTTTGTATTGGGGTTATGAGTTTGTGGAAGTGGATTTTTAAAATTATCAGCTACTCTTAATCCCTTTCGGGAGGGACCTTAGTAGTCGTGGTGATAACCATAATGCATTCTTGGATCCAACCTCTAAACCGGAGTTTGTATTTCAACAAAAAGTTTAAAAATAGATAGCAAATCATAGCTGTAACTTGACATGTGTATGTCTGAGAAGATTAACTCTAGAGACCCTCGGGACTAAAAGCTGTCAACTGACACATTTATCTATTTTTGGAGTATGGTAGAATACTCCAGCTCTCAGAGTATGGTAGAAAGAGGAAGGGAGGGAGAGGAAAGGCTGAGAAGAAGGCAGGAGAGAAGAAGGGGCTTATATTTTTAACAAATTAGATATAAAAGGAAAACCACTTGCCCTGGGGACTTCGAGTGAAGTTTGAAAAGGCAAGAGAAAAAGAAGAAAATCTAAACATCTATTTAGGTTCTTTCTGGAACAGAATATGAACTTTATAAATGTGCTCAAGGATGCAAAGCAAAGGGGAATCAGTGTGCAGCGAGGTTGGCCAGGCAAAATCCTGTGGAACCCCACGGTGGAGGGAGGAACGGGAAGAGGTTAAGGGTGATTTCGTGGCCAGGCTAAAGGGGTACTTAAAGTTGGGAAAGAGTTTCTAGGAAAGGGGTAGATATGACGCATGAGTTCAGATGTTTCGGGAAAGGTCAGGACCCTGCTCTGCATTTCCTTCCCCATCTGCACGCACTGCAGGCGAACTGATGGGGAGGCCTCCTCTGTCTGGGGGACCACTTCCACCCACCCAAGCTGGGGTCTTAACCCAGATTTAAGAATATCGGTTATAATTAATGCAGAATTTCCAAGGCTGTATAATACTGTGGGCCTTGGGGACCTTGATGGTTCAAAATGAGGTGTGGTCTATGAGCAAGCAGTTTAAACCCTTGTCTTTATTATTAACTAGATTACATAATTTGAAAAAATATCTTTCTCATCTTCTTAAGTACATGTAAAATACTTAGCACAGCATTTGAATAGCCTATCAGCAGAAGTAATATTCATTGTTATTATTTTTGCCAATGTTGTAAAGGGAAGGCAAAACAATAGTCCTTCCATTTTCTGCATCCCGGAGTCACAGAATTAGAGGTTCCCTCAGGACATCTTCAAAGTCAGGCTGCAAATAGTGACATTGCCCCTCCCCAGGCAAGTCTAACAGTTACCGCTCATTCCTCCCCACCTCGACTGGCCCCTGACTTTCATCTTTCCCCCACGTCTCTGTGACTGCTGTTCATGCCCAAGTGGTGTGCACCTTTCCAACTTTTAAATGAAGTCTTTTGTCATAGCCCTTCCAAGAGTTCAAAAGTGACCCTTTACAACACCTTTCACTGTGTTCACCGAGATAGAACTCTGCAGTATCAAAAGACAATCTCGCTTGAAGTGACAACAGTTTTGAAACTGAGGAACAACTGGCAGACAGTGGTTTATTTCTAAATGTGTGATGCGACAGAATTTCCTGCTTGAATTTTAAAACTGCTATTATTTCTAAGCTAAAAAAAAAAAAATGAGCAATTTCTTATCTATTTCATATATGACGTCAATGCAACCTATGGTATTTCAAATGCAAACTTCAAGCTCACTAAAATATATTAAAATAAGATGAACATTTGGATTTTTTTCTAGGGAAAAGCATACATATTTACACAGAACAGTCATTATATTACTAGGCCTGCAGTAAGATTTTTTAGCAAGTTTAAATGAATGATGAAAATAGAGTAGTAAAGTGTCACTTAATGATGTTAATGTTAACATCATTACAGAATTATAGAAGGAAATTATAATCTTTGATTAAAACAAGTAACTGTGAGTAGCTACTATTGGGACAAAAATGGCAAGAACTAAAGCTTAAGGAGTTTTCTGCTGAGAAATAGCTAATTTACTTGAAAATTAAAAGTCATCATCAAAATAGTTCTTACTAGCCCTGGCTGGTGTGGCTCAGTGGGTTGGAAGATCATGAGTTCGATTCCCAGTCAGGGCACATACCTAGGTTGCAGATTTGACCCCCAGTCGAGGCGCAAGAGAGGCAACTGGTTGGTGTTTCTCTCTCACATGAATGCTTCTCTCTCCACGCCCCCCCCCTACTTCTTCCTTCTCTAAAAATCAATTTTTAAAAATAGTTCTTATTAAAAATAATGTAAAATTGAAAATACATCATATACTCTAATGCTTATATTTCACATTCCTTTCCTGGTCAAATTCTGCTTCTTGTGCTGAATCTAAATCTCTTTTCGTAAAGGTGGTAATTTAGACGTAAAATATCATTTCTTGATATGATCATCACAAATATGCTGGAAAAAATGACCTTATGAGCGATAATCATACAAATTAATTATGCAAAATGCAATGAAACAACTTGTTGTGCTAGCATTTTTCTTGCTACCTAGTGAAGATTCATCCTTTAGAATCTTAGGAGCAGCTTGAGTAAGAGGCAGCCCCTGAATCAGCAAGGCATTTGTCCCTTCAACTGTCTCATGAATCATCCCCACGAGCGTATTCCCAGCAGAGAGGGCATCCAGTATTTTCCAAATTATAAAGGTAGCCAATATTGGCACTGCATCAGAAGCTATGAGTTAAGCCCCATGCTAGCATTTCCATGTTAATTCACTTCTTACCCGTGGCTGGATGGGTAAGAAAACTCACCCATGGATAAGAGGAGTCAGACAGCTCTTTTCAAATCCACTCTTATCAAATGACTGAAGTATGATCTTGGGCAAGTTATTTACATCTCTCACTTTCTTCATCTGTAAAATGGGGTAACTAATGGGGCCGTTATGAGTATTAAAGTAATTGATATACATAAAGTGCTTAGAAAGTGCCTAGTACATAGAATGTATAATTTAAGTGTAATATAAACCATTATCATTTAATTACATAATTGCAGTAATGTATTATTAGAAAGTATATAGCACTATACAATATTGATGCAAACTGTTATTATTAGTATCCAAAATGTTAGCTTAGCATCCTGAAGGTGCACATACCCTAGTAGCACCTGCAGCATTACCCTACAACGTGTCCAGAAAAAAACTCCACCACCTGGTAGATTTAACCCATGAGGTATGTGGCTCCCTGGGGACCATAACAAAAACATTCAGTTCTGTACTCCTGTAAGCCCTGGGGAGGTACATCTTATCCCCAAACAGCAAGTGCCAAGCACATCAGAAAGACAGCCCTTCTCCAATGGAAGCAGTTTGGAGTTTGTAGAAACTAGAACACTTTAGCAATGTTCCTCTGTCCCCACTTAAGCCATAAGAACTCCTTTTTTCTCATAAGCCCATCAGCACTCCACGTAATGCCTGCAGAGATGCACTTCATAGCTACAGCAAATCTGCACCCTCACTCCTTCTTTAAGGGAGGCAGAGTTTAGTTGTTCAAGGCCACTAACACTGTTCTAAGAACTGGCAAGGAGCCCTCCTGTAAACCCCCCTTAGAATCAGGGACTGGTCCCAGAAGCAGAGGGCACAGATTGAGCACTCCAGGCTGGAGTGGCTAAGCTGGATCATTCGGTGGCATGGTTTTCACAGGAACTCAAAGGAGGAAGTAGTCACTGCCGCCCGTGGGGGTCAGCATGTGGGTTAGCTCACAAGAGACTTTTGGGCAGAAGCTTCCAGGAAGAGAAGCCAGGTCAGGGTATTCCAGGCCCAGGGGAAATGGAGTAGATATTGGGATTTCTTGGTGGTATGACATATTTAGGGAACAGCAAACAGACCAGCTGATGCAAGAGACAGGAGGTGAGGACCACAAAGAGGTTGTGGTCAAGTCATGAAGTCTCAAGTGGCTTGCAGAGGGCAAGCAAGAGAAGGGTTATCAGCGGCGTGTAGAGCCAATGGATGGGGGAGCATGGGTCAGAGCGAGGAGACCAGACCGTGAGGGCGCAGCAGACGCTGCTCCGTCTCCAGAACCTCAACCGCCGAGAGGCTGAGCAAGGGCACTTGGCTTTTCCCTGTGAGGAGGTGGGTATGTGGCCCAGGCTCTCTGCCTTTAGAGAGAAACTGGTATTTTAGGATTTTGTTTTGTATAATTTTTAATTTTTTTGCCCTTCCACCCAGGTAAGTATACATTCCCATCTCTGACAAATAATCACATGCATGTCACAAATTAGACCTTTGGGGAAGACAAAAAGATGAGACATGAAGCACAGCTGCTTTACAAACCACCCGGATGGGTCTCAAAGCCTGATGGCCTTTTTGTGACAAGGGGGCTGTGCAGCTGCCAGAGAAGGCGGGGCTGAGGCAGGAGGGAAGAGACCTCCAGGGCGAATCTTGCGGGTGCACTGCTGGGCAGGCCCTGCTGTTCTTTTTTTCTCACCATGAGAATAAAATGACAGCAAAAACAGTGTCCCTGTAATGCACCGAGAAATGGATTCCAGAGTGAGAAAGGCCATAGCCCCCTTACCCTTGTGAGAAACCAGTAGTAATGAGGTGGGTAAACGTGGGGGGCTGTGGAGTAAGACTGCCTGCTAGTGAACCCCAGCTCCACCCCTTATGAGCACTGTGACACTAAACAGTGAACCTCTCTTTGCCCTAATTCTTTTACCTGTAAAATGGTGATAATAGTAAATTGTCCATTTTCTTAACTGTAAACTAAGGAGACTGAATTATAAGGATTAAGTTATATGAACCATTGAAAATGCTAACCAGAATGCCCAGTAAGTAGTAAACCCTCATTATGATGTTTTCCAGAAATAACGAGCATATGTGGGGGGTAGGCATTAAGCAAAACTGAGGGTAGACATCGGCGAGCACTAAAATAACGATGCGGAGCTATTTTAAAGGCAGGGATCCTGCAGACCATGTGAGTCGAGTCACCGAAAAGCAGAAAAAAACACGGACGCTTGACTGTTACCTTCCAAAGAGGGACAATCAATTTTTGAAAATCTGGCTGAAAAAATACCCTTGGCTTGTATACGATGAGATGCTAAATCTCATGTTCTGTGGCCTGTGTCGTAAGCACGGAGTGAAGTCAGGGGGAAACCAAGTGAGTTTCTGTCATGGCACTGACAACTTTCGGGCTGGATTTCTCAGTGCACATCATCTCAGCGCGGCTCATGCCGAGGCCTCAATAATGGAAGCGACAAACGGTTGTCCCGCCAGCAGAGCCTCCACGGGGCTGGCGGTGAGGGCCATGAGCAGAGTGGCCCTCGGGAGAGTCGAGAACCTATTCAGATCATGCCATGCTATCGCCAAGACCGGGCGGCCCCTCAGAGACTTCATCTGGATGTGCCAGTTGGATGACATGAAGGGTGTCGATATTGGCCCCGTATTCAGGACTAAGAAATCAGCAAGGACATTCGCGTATTTTATTGCCGAAGTAGAACGGAGAAACCTAAGAGAGAAACTAGACAGAAGTAAGTTTTTCTCCGTCATCAGCGATGGAACCTCAGCCAGGTGGATGGAGGAAGCTGAACTTGTGTACGTGCAGTTTGCACACTTAGGAAAAGTGCATTGCCAACTCGTTGGGGTACAAACAGTAGAAACAAAGGATCCCCTGGCCATCAAAATTGCCATTGAGAAAACTCTAGAGAGAAATCTTCAGCTCAGGCTGTCTCACCAAGACTGGGCAAAGAAGCTGGTTGGTTTTGGAAGTGATAGCGCCCCTGGCTCAGAGGGAGAGAACAGTGGGGTGGCCCCGCTTTTAAGAGAAATCCAGCCTTGTGTGCTGACTGTGTCCTGCTTTGCCCATCGTCTTGAACTGTCTTACAAGGCGGTGCTTCAGAGCATTCCCCTGTACAACGGTGTCCGAGACCTTCTCCACAGCGTTTGTCACCTCTATCGCAGTTCACCCCTTCACAAGAGTTCCCTGATAGCTGCTTTCAGAGGCCTTCACCTTCGCCCTGTGATGCCTTCTAAAGTCGGAGGCAGGAGGTGGCTTCAGGGATTGCAGGCAGCCCTCCAGAACTTTCTCAAGGGATACCCCGCAATTGTCCAGCAACTTCGTTCAGTAAGTAATTTTGAAATGCCACACTATTTTAATTTTTCAGAATAATCAAATATATTTTTATTGAGCAATTCAAGAAAGATAAACCATTATTTTATTCCCAACCTGTGTTACAGACGGGTGAAGACAGAAGTGACACCGGTCATGAGGAAACCAAAGAAATTCTAGAGTTGCTTTTCCAAGCAGACATTGTTAAATTTGTGCATTTCCTGGTGGATGTCATTAATGTTCTTGGCATCTTGTCCCATGTCAGCCAAAACAGGAATTCTTCAATTGCAGATGTATTTGCTACCTTAGAGTCGACACTGGAAATGCTCAGAATGTACCAGACAAGGTGAGGAGAAAGGGATGATCTGAGGGACTTGGGAAATCATTTGCCAGGTACTTTTTCATGTAATGGTTTATTGGAGGGATCTTGTTTCTCTCCAGACCAGGGCCCAAAGAACGTAGGGTGGATTCAATCACACACTTTCACGGTAACTGCCTCAAAGGAAAGGGAAACATTGCTGATGTGAGACACATGGTTTTGACACGTCTCATCAAGAGGTTGAGAGGCTGTTTCAGAGATGCCAGCCAAGATGTGATGAAGGCAACAGTGATTGGAAGCTTTAAACTGTGGCCTGCAAAGATAAATCAAGGTAACCTATATGCGCTGACTCTGAGCCTGCGGTGCTTTGATGAGTCTGTATGAGTGTTTTTTATATATGTGACTTTCCGTTTGTATACTGATGACAGAATTTGGAGAAAAAGAGGTGTCCATCCTGATCGCACATTATGAACCGTTATTGGCAGCTGCCAACGTGCAAATCAATGAAGTGCTCACTGAGTGGAGCATGTTGAAATTAGAGATTTATGCCAGGTGAGCATCAGTAAAGTAGTTGATATTTATAAACACTTGGGTAAACCTTGGGAGTCTTGATCTTTTACATTTTTCACTTTCCCCCCTAGATTTCAGAACATCCACAAATTGACCTGGGAATTTGTGAATTCGGTTTGCTTACACAAGTATCCAAATATCCTGACGCTAGTGGACCTCCTGCTGACCCTCCCTGCAAGTTCAGCAGAGGTGGGGCGGGGCTTTAGCCAGATGCAACGCACCGAGTCCCAAATGCATGCCAAGATCAAGGCTGACAGCATGTCTGATCTCCTGATCATTCAGTTGAATTCTCCAGACATTAATAACTTTGACCCCAGGGAAGCTATCCACTTATGGAATGTGAGAGCACTATTTTCAGCTGGAGACACAAGACCTATCTCGGATTGCTCATCAAACTCAGGAAGCCATGATGAAAGTGATTAGTAATATGACAAATGTTGACTTCATCTTTGATGATAGCAGAAACAATAAATTATCTTCAAAAGCCCGAAATTTGAAAGTAGAATTGTCACCAGTCATCACATCAAAGACAGGAGGCATTTGGTATCTTCTAGGCATCCAAAGCAAAAATCCAAAAATTGGTTTTCCAGTAACTTTGTAATTCTATTTGTATATTCATTCACACGTTCTTTCACAGTCTTTGGGTAGAGCTGTATATTTTTAAGCAATGGTGTTATTATAATGTCATCTTTCTGAGAGTTATATGTAAAGATCATATGACTATATGCCTTGGTCATTTAAGTAACAGGTCAAATATTAAAATAGTTTTTACAGTTCATACTAATATCCCCATAGTTAACAATTCCTATGTAACTAAAAGTATTGTCTTATAGCCCTGGCCAGTGTGGCTCAATTGGTTGGAATGTTGTCCTGTGAACCAGAAGGTCATGGGTTTGATTCCTGGTCAGGGCACATACCTAAGTTGCATGTTCCATCCTTGGTCTGGGCATGTACAGGAGGCAACAGATTGATGTTTCCCTCTCACATCGATGTTTCTCTCTCCCTCTCCGCACCCCTCTCTTTCTTTTCCCCCTCCTCCCTCTCTAAAAAAGAGAATTAATAAAAAAAAAAGTATTGTCTTACAACACTTTGCTTACACCATGGTTATTAGGACAGTGGAAATATTTTATACATCTACCAAAATTTTTAAATACTTTGAACCTCTTCATGGTTTCAAAAGAGTTTTTTATGGTTTTACATTGAGGAACATGAATGATTTATTTCTAACTTATCTGAAAACCAATGTTGTATCATGTAAAGATCATTTTACTGAAAATTCTACTACCTCGGAAAGTATTCTCATCTCTATAAAATTGAACACTCAGGTTTGATCAAAAAAGATAAAGAATTCATTTCTGAACAACCAGCTGGGTGGCTAGTCATAGCAAAGAAAACAATATTCTGCTCTTGTTACCCAGAAAATTACCATCCAAATCGCAAAATTGTATATTTGGTTTTATCCACTGAAATTTTACAAGGATTATTGCATGCCGCTAAAGGTTAGAGGAAGTGGTGTTTTACTTTGGACTTTTATAAATGCTAAAAATTTAGATGTAAAATGAAACATTTGAGATCCTACGTCTAGGGTTTTCAAACAAAGAAGAATATTCATGTACTCTGGACCTGAAAGATGCCCGATACTTGTAGGAATCTCTTCGGCTCTAGAAGGTACCTCTGCTATGATAGTTAGACATTTTTTAAGCAAATTCATTTATTTTGCTTTCCTATTTCTTTTTAAATGCATGTGCATGCAATTTGAAATGAGAAACCAACTAAGCAGACATCTCTGTGGGACAGGGCAAAGTAGATTAGAACATAACATCAAAGCATTTAAAAGGTTAGTAATCTTTTAAAAATATTTTAAATAGTGAGTCAATTGTATGATTAGATTGACACTTCCAATCCAATAATTTGACAATTCAAATCTCCCTATATTTATAAAAACAAATATATTCTGATCTAAAGAGTAAAATGAGGATAAATGTGTTACCTTGATCACTGCGGTGATTTGCATGTCTTTGAAACACCTTTATCCCATATTTTCCAAAACATTCTACTCTTGTATCCAACTGTATAATAGGGAAGTTTAGAGTATTTTTAAAAATTCAACCAATTCTGAGTAAAAGATCAAAAAAGACTCCAAACTAAAATATGAAGTCCCAGTATTTTACCCAACCTGTAATGATTTATTACTCAACCAAAAAGACATTTTGACTTAGCTGAGAAAAAAATAATGGGAGAGCACCAGGAAATTATCATTTTTATGTTTTCAAAATTTCTTCCGCTTCTCTAAGGGTTACAGTTTTAAATAATATTAATAAAGTGATTCCCCACCACGTAACTGAAAAATATTTTTCATTGTATTATAGGCACAATAGGGAACAAAGCATTTACTGACATTCTTTTTGACTTGGTGACCCTGAACCTCGGAGCAAACAGCCTTCCCAGCAGTTGGATGCACCTCACTCAACCTGAAGTAAGCATCGCGTTTCTTTGGGTTTCAAAGCTTTGACAATTTTTATTTGATCAATAAGTCAATAGTTTTAAAAATAGCCAGTTACTTGCACAGTATCTGACATTTAGTAGGCCACTGATAAAAACTGAATGATTGAATGGATGAACTTTCACTTTAAGACACATGCTCAGTATTAGAAGAAGGAGAGAGGATGCTAACAGCCCATGAAACATCACTGAGACCACGAGGCTCAGCCAGTAGGGTTGTGGCTGTTGCTACCCGATGAAATGAGCCAACCTAGTAATTCTTACTTTTTCTCATACTCTGTTTCTCAAGAATGTATCAGAAAACAAAGTGGTTAAAGAGTGTTTCCCCACAGGCTGTGTCCTTGCACAGCCCCCTACTGTCACTTTTATCCCTCCTCTGTTGCAAAGGTGCAAAGTCAACTGGAGACACGTGTATAAATTCATCACATGACAGTAAGCAGGAACACAAAGGTCAAAGAAGCAAAAGGTGAAACACTTTCTAGGTGCTGCCTGGTGTAGAGTGGCTGGTAGAGCTTGAGGGGATGTGAGAAGCAGCTCCGTTCACCAATCTGAAAACCCGCTCCCTTCATCTGAATCGCTTAGCAAGAAATGTGAGCAGAGAGAGCGTCAGCATAGAACTGTACAAACATTCCAGTGGCATGTCCTGTTTTCTTCTAGCTGCAGGAGTTAACATCTCTATTAACCGTGAACTCAGAGCTCGTGGACTGGCGGAAATTCCTGTTAGTGACCTCGCTGCCTTGGCCCATCCCGCTGGAGGAGGAGCTCCTCGAGACCCTGCAGAGGTTCAAGGCTGTGGACCAGGAGCAGTCGGGCACCGTCACTTATGAGCAGTATATTCAGGTTGCTGTCAACACCTGGGGGGCACTAATCCCAGGCTCCTTTCATCCTAAGGAGTAGAATAACTGGTGACCTTCACCAGAGTAAATTTGGTAGAGAACAGAATCCAGGTTGCAGGGGACTGGGGAAATGACTAGGTCTTTAGAAAGTGAAAAATAAGAAAAAGCTCATTTTTGAGGAGTAAGGGTGGAGTGAGAGTGAAATCTCATAGCTAAGAAGGGCCTGCATTGCTTATTATGTGTCTACTAATTGAATTCGTCCTGCTGCTGGCAGACACAAAAGATGGGCATGTTTGTAAGGTGCCAATTTTGAAACAAGGTGATACCCTCTAAGTGCAGGTATCTCAAGCGTGTGCCACCATTGAAAGACCACATCCCTCCTGCTTGTCTTTTCTCCCGTGATTAATGCCAGCCCTGAGATTCTCAGGCTCATACAGTTGAGCCGGAGGAAATGGCACTTGCATGCTGAGAACGCCCCTTCAAGGCTGATCAAAAAAGTGCTTAGCTGATTAGGCTCTGACTTATCTCCCAAGTAGAGTCATTTATGAATTCTGTCACTGTCCTGAACGTACAACTCGTGAAGATGATTTTTATCGTTGGTTTAAGATTTTAAAAGTGGGCACTGAGCAATTACCAGCCTTCACTATTTACGCTGCGTGCCAGTTAACACAGGATGTCGATTTAAACAGCCTTTTACACAAGCATGAAATGAGCAAGGGGCGTTAGCAGTTTTTAACCTTACCCAAGTGCTGAGCCAAAACCAGAAGGCTCCTTTACCAAAGGTGTGAATTTCTTAGAGAAAGCTGGCTACTGCGTCTCATGGAAACTCAAAAATTGGACACTGCCTGTGTTTTGGGAGCAGTTGATCTCTGAGCTTTGTCCTGTCCTCTTGACCTGCAAGTCCCACTCCTCGGGGCCCCAGGACAAGACGGCCATCTGGAGAGGCTCCCCTGACTCTCCCACATCATGACTTTTACAGATTTCCGACACTCACCAGCTCACACACACACACAAAAGGTTATTTCATGGGAAAAGTCAAAACAGCCTCTAGGGCCAACTTTTGTAAGATTTATTGAAAATGCCACATTAGAACAGTAAAATAGCACAGTCGCACTGCCGAGATGCAGTTTTCTCGCCGAAAAAGGCTCTCTCTTCTGCACTTTATTTTGTCTGTCTTTTTTCTTTTCTTTTGACTAATTGCAAGTTCACCACAACAGCCACATAAGAGTGTGCTGATTTCCCCAGCTTCTGAAATGGAATGAGACACGGGCTTGTGAAGTCGGGGCTGTGCACCTCGGCTAAGCCCTGCAAGCCTGGAAGCCAGGCCGCCCCTTGCTCCCGCCCTGCTGCAGCGGCCACACGCGCTGGCCTCTGTCGCGTGTGCATGTTTAGTCACACTCAGGGGGAGTTCTCTGATGTTCGTCTCTCGACTCATCTCCTCTTGGTGAGAATGCATGTTGTTATAGGCTTAATGAGTCAGATGCTGTGGGATTCAAACAGTGCAGGGCTTGTTTTCTAAGGAAAAGTAAAAAAGAAAAAAAATCCTTTGGCCACATTTTAGCAAGAAAATATGAAGGGCATTTCCACATTTCAAGGAGAAATCACCTAACTATCCAGTGAGGCAGGATGTGGTGCACTCAGCCGCGCTTTATCAGTGTAAACCCTGCTCTACAGGTTCTCATTTAACATTTCATCTGTAAACATTTTCATTAGGTTATTTTTTCTTTCTAATGTGGCCCTCTTGTGTGTGAAACATTTTTTTTTTTTAAGCCTCGCCCAAGGATATGTTTTTATTGTTTTAGAGAGAGGAAAGGGGAGAGAGAGAGGGGAACATCGATCAGTTGTCTCCCCCCTTCCCGGATCTGGAATCCAAACCCCAACCGAGATGTGTGCCCTGACTTGGAATCGAACCTGCGAACTTTCGGTACACAGGGATGACGCTCCAGCCAGCAGAACCACCAGGCCAGGGCGCGTGTGAGACATTTGAAACAGTTTCGTAGTTTATGAAATATTATAAACTTTTGGAAAACTGATATAAATGAACCATTGGTCTTAAGCATCAAGGAAGATTCCTGTGCATTGAAACCATTGGATGTGGAGTTGAGAGTTGGTTGAGCAACGGGCCAAAGGGTAGAGATCATATCTCTGTTTCTCTACTTCCCTCTGGCTTCTACCATTTCCTCTTATTACCAGCAAAATCTAGGGCAGTGACCTCCAAGCTTCATCGCATGTTCCAAGTTCAAACACAGCTAGCATCCCTGATATGTGAGTTTTCATTTATAAATTATACATGTACACTCCTGCACTGATACATTATATAAATTATCAAATTTTTAAAAATAAGAATTGCCAAAGAATCAGATCAAAATACATGTAAATGGTAGTTCTAGTAGTTTCTCCTGCATCCCCACGGTTTCTTCAGCCTGTTTAGACACTTGCACAACAAGGTGGGCTCAGTCTCTGTGGCTTTTAGAGGAACAGTTACATCTCAGCATAATACATTAATAATTTTCTTTTTTATTTTCTGTATAGGCGAGCCTGTGGTTTACGGGGGATGAAGATATGAAAGTTCCAGAAAATCCTCTTGAACCGCTGCCATTCAATAGGCAGGAGCATCTTATACAGGTAATCACTGAGATCTTTAAAAAAGTTAGCACTTTGCCCTGGCCAGGCGGCTCAGCTGGCTGGAGTGTCGTCCCTTACATCAAAAGGCCGCAGGTCAGATCCCTGGCCAGGGCATGTATGGAGGCAACCAGTCGACGTTTCCCTCTCTCATCAATGTTTCTCTCTCTTTCTCTCTCTCCCCCTCCCTTCCTCTCTCTAAAATCAATAAAAACATATCCTCAGGTGAGGATTTTAAAAAAGTTTAGTACTTCGACACTGATCAATTTCTTTGTCTTTTCTTTCGCTTGTGTAATTTGTTTCAGACATCACTGCCACCCTCCAGCTCCTTTGCTGTACCCCCAAAGGACAGATTTTAACACTCGCTAAGTGGCAGCACAGAGGAGCCCCGTGGGAGGAGGCAGGGCCGAACTCTTAGACAGAACGGCCGGTAGCTCAGTTGGTTAGAGCATCGTCCCAAAAGCCAAGGTTGCAGGATAGAGCCCTGGACAGGACACATACAGGAATCCGCCAATGAATGCGTAAATAAGTGCAACTGCTGTCGACGCTCTGTGTGACCTCAGACAATTTCCACCGCCTCTCTGGTTTCACTCTTCCCATCTGTGAAATAAGCCAAGCCGTGACAGCACATTAGCCTTGAAATGTTCTTCCAATTCTAAAAGCTTAGGATAAAAATTGTCATTTTACCAATATATGTTTTTGTTCATTTCTTTCTGATTCTGACTAACATGTACAACACACCGAGGTTTGCATACGGTATTGCCCATGGCCCATCAGATTTTTATTATTACCAAAAATATCATTATTATCAATGGTAATTATTGATAATAGTACTATAATGATAGTGGCAATGTATTGATAATAATAATAGTAGTAATATTGTTATTACCTTCTATTCCTGAGGCCACAATAGAAAGAAATACCTTAAAGTCTAAAAGCTACTCTGACTTCAGTGCAAATGTTTAAAATATAAAAATATGCATTACACAGCCAGACTCAGAAAGATAGGAAAAGAGCTGAAGGGTAGATTTAGACATCACAGCAAACCATGTATATCGATTGCTCAATTTCCAGCCAACCATTAGTACAAAACTGCAGCGCAAAATTGAATATGACTCTAGTTATAACCTCAAAGTGAGCAATTTATTTCAATTGGATGCACATTTTTCAAGCATCTCTGCCAGATGCCAGCAGGAAATCAGGGAAGAGAGAGGGTCCAAGAATTGCCAAAGAGTCCAAGGCAGGCTCGCAGTTTTAGGAGCAGCTTTTTGTTTGGGTTGTTGGTTTATTTACAATGTGACACGGGGGGACTGAGACCAGTTCTCCTGTAAGGCTTTGCGAGGGTGTCTATATGATTTTGTGCGCAGTTCTGCAACAACATGAACAGGTTCTTCATTACTTGGGAAGAAACCAGCAGACTGAATAGCACCTTCCTTTCCAGACAGAAGTTTTTAGAAATGTCAGACAAATAGCATATGATCTCACTTATATGTGGACTCTAATGAACAAAATAACCTGATGGACAAAACAGAAACAGAGGCATGGAAGCATGGAACAGACTGCCAGCTGTCAGAGGGGAGGGGAGTTGGGGGGCTGGATGAAAGAAGATGAAGGGATTAAGCAAAAAACATGCATAACCCACAGACACGGACAACAGTGTGGTGATGGCCAGAGGGAAGGGGGTTGGGCTGGGTGGAGGTGGGCAAAGCGGGGATAAATGGAGATAGAAATATCAGTTGAGGGCAGAGCCTTTTGATTGCTCACCCAGCCACTGAAGGCAGAAGGCAGATGGTGCGGCTCAGCCCGGGGACAGCGTGGCAGCGAAGCAGTAAAGGGCTTTTGGGTTCCGAGGAAGGGAGTGGCTCCCACCTGCTGCTGCCCAAACTTCTGAAAAGTGACAGGGAAGAAAGGAACAAAGCTGGGAGCAGGGGCAGGACTGTGAAGCCTGAGATGTGCTTTCATGGGACAAAGGATGGCTGATGGATGAGTGTGCATGTGTGTGTGTGTGATGTCCAGAGGACAGAAATAGAAAAAGGAATGGAGTTTTCCATCCCTCTCTGCCTCAGGTTCAGTGTTACTTAAATCTCAATGCTCTGAAACTGGGATTAAGAGGCACAGACTCCAGGGCCGACACACTCCCAAGTCTTGATGGAGTCACCTAACCCCGCTGTGCCATTTTGACCCCTCTCAGATGCGGGCATCTTGGATAGCGAGTGGTTGGCCTTGGGTTAGCTGAGCAGATGCTAACCATGCTAACTGTATGTGGTGAAAGGATGGTGAATGGTTAACATACTAAAAAGAGGTGCAAAGAGAAAATGTAAAGCATGTTTACTTTGTTGGCTGTAATGAGAATAGGAAAATAAATGCCCCAGGAAGAGGGAATTCTGAGGTCAGCATCCTCGGGCTCAGTTCTCAGTTCTGCCATGACTCACTGTAGGACCTTGAGCAGGTCCCTTCGTCTTCCAGGGCCGCTGTGTCCTCCCAAGGAGAAGGTATGGGCTGCAATCTAAGGTCCCTCGTCCCCCTGCTTTGTCATCTGTGCTCTCCATGAGCCACACCCAGCGAGGGCCCCTGGAGACAGTTCATGATCACTATCTGTGCAATGGATGAATGGCCCAGATGCTTCCCAAAAAGGAGCCCTGGGACCTATCTGTGTTGCAGTCACATCACTGCCCCTGACAGTGACAACATGCAAAGACTGATGAGGTTCAGCAGGCTGTGTCCTGGCTTCCCAGCTTTCCACACACTCAACACCCAGAGCAATATTTTAAAAATCCTTAGGGATTTCCTGAGAAAAGCCAATTGAATTTTACTATATTTAAGTTCACAGGTGTTATCTTAATCTCTTCTCCACAGCTTCTGTCCATATGAAATTCCCCCATTACTCTATTAATATTTGTTGAAGCCAAGCTCATAGTTTGAACTACTAGCCATTTCGTAACAAATCCCAAATGTCTATTTCCACCCCAAATCTTTCTTTCAAATGTGAGTCTCCTAGACAACTGCCTGTTTGACATCTCCACTTCCACACTCAAGGAGAGGGGAGTACACAGGATATTTACTCCAGGGGGTGGGATTCTTTGTAGCCATCTTAGAGTTCTTCCTACTGAAACATTTCAAATTTTTAAAATTGATTTTAGAGAGAGAGGAAGGGAAAGAGAGGGGGAGAAGAGAGAGAGAGAGAGAGAGAGAAAGCATCAATTTGTTGTTCCACTTATATATGCATTCTTTGGTTGCTTCTTATATGTGTCCTGACCAGAGATCAAACCCGCATCTTTGGAGTATCAGGACAAGGCCTTTACCAACTGAGTACCCAGCCAGGTCTCTACTACAATATTTTAAGTGATCTTAAGAACATAGCAAGTCTTACCTCTTTTGAATGTCCAATTCATTGATTTAATAAGCCTGCATAGTTACAGAAAGTGTCCAAATATCAACTTATTTTGTTTTTTTACATCTTCCTTCAAGATACCATATTCCATTTCTTTGTTAACAGAAATAATGATATATTGTACCTGCATAACATTTATCAGAGAAATTCAGTAGAAATAATACCAAAGTTCAATAATTCATGCAAAAGGAATGGGAGATAAGCACCCAAGGGCAACACCATGATCACCTATCTATTAGAGTCAGTCCCCCTCAATTCCCAGTCCTGCTGGAATCCCTGAAGTAGCTCAAAGACAAGTGAGAAGATGAAGGAAACACACGGTCCTGGATGCGCCTGCCAGCTGAAAACCCTAAGGATGCCTTAGCGTCAGAGGGTGTTTTTAAGCATCTCAGCCTAGCTCCGTGCCGGGCTTATCGCAGACACTCAGTAAATGTTTGATAAAAGGGTGGCTGAATGAATGAACTTACAGATCCCATCCACCTCTATGACTCTTTTCTGCTTTATTAGCATATCAGATTTTATGCATTTTCCTATAAAAGTTATTTTTATTTAAATTTTTATTAGATTTGCAAAATATCAGAAATTTCTTTTTCCAACTTCAGGTATGTCTAATTATGTGCTCATAGTTGTGAGGATTGTTGGCGATAGAGAATAGCATGGTACCTGGATCAAGGCGCCTGCTTCTCAAAGTGCAGGCCAGGACCAGCAGCACTGGAATCACCTAGGAGCTTGCGAAATGTGCAGAAACTTAGGCTGCTCCATAGATTTCATTAGAATCTGCATTTTGAAAAGGTTCTCCAGGTCATTGTAGGCACATGTTTGAGAAGAGCCAGTCACCTTCCCAAAAAGGACCAATAGGTCTTAGGTGTGACCTATGTGTCCCAGGCCATGGCCCTGGCTTTGCAGGGCCCCAGAAGATGTTAGATTCCCAAGTACCAGCTCCTAATGCTTCCAAATGCACAAGACACTGTGCATACAGCTGGCCATCCCCTCAGTCCTTAGAACGAGAGGGAAACTTGCCAAACACACTGATAGTCAGCGGTGAGCACACTCTGTCCCGGGAGGTGAGCCCAGGTGGGAAGAAGTCACGTTACTGTTAGTAGATTAAGTATGAAGTTCAGGGCAAGGTGGGCCGGTTTAAAGATTTTAAGGGCTAGAGTCCTGGTGGCTTTGGCGCTGTCCCCTCTCCCTCTCCCCACTCCCCACAGAGAGGGATGTACCAGAAGCGTCCTGTTCAGGAGTCAGGGCCCAGTTTGTGAGGATGGTGCTGAGGACAGACAGAGGGGTCCTTGTTCTTGGGATTCCCTTTTCCTGCATCCTATGTAGTCTCCACCATCTTTATTGGCACATTCTTTCCTAAATATGTTAATACCGTAGACTAGCTTACAGTTTTCTGTATCATTAGAATTTCGAGCCCTACTTTTTATATTTTTTTACTTAGCATACCCTTCATCTAATACCATTCATTATATGTTGGTTTTACTGATTTGGTCCTCAGAAAGTGACCTTATTCTACAGCTGCTGGAGGAAGGACCCCTTTGTGTCCTGTCCATCTACTGACTACCCAAGTGCATGCATTATTTTATGTTTGGCTGAAATTCTTTCTGTGTGACAGTTTTTCTTTAGGCTCTTTGCCGACCGTGAGAAGGATCCACCCCTGCTCGACTACACACAGATGCTGCTTTATTTTGCTTGCCACCCGGATCCTGTGGAAGGGGTCTACAGGGCCCTCAGTGTGGCCACTGGGACTCACATCTTCCAACCAATCGAAATGGCTACTCCTCCTGCAGAAGAGGTACTTGAGTTCCAGACATGGACTCGCACTGGGGTCTGGAAGGGGATGCCGGAATATCCTAAACTTTTAACAACAGACACTGTGTTCTTTTCACTTCCGTATTTTCCTGGGCACCTAACACAATGCATTACATGTACTAGGTCTTCAGTAAAGACTTATTCAATTGTATTAAGAACTGGGGGCCCACTTTCCAAAAAAATGCTTTTATAGAAGAATCGAAATTTGCTCAAAGCTTCTTGGTGCAGTCAGAGTTTTTTCTGTAAAGAACAGCCTTTATTTTGCATGAGGTGCTGATCCTGATAAATGAGGAAGAACTAGGTATCAACTCAAGCTATTTGTGACACTTTATGGAAATTATGTGTAAAGCAAATTCATACCTTAGACACATCCCACATGTATGGGACACCGGTAGTGTTAGGGCCAAAGCCCAGCCACCTGAAACCCACAGGCACTTTGTATCACCTGCATCCAAGGACAAAGAAGCTTAATATGTAATAAAAACCTCACATCCCCCTTATATTTCTAAGGCATTGGCATTCCCTGGCTTTTTCAGGTGAAAAAACCCCAGAACATGGTACTAATTAGTTTACTTACCAGGTGCCCATTGCATGGCTTTTTAATCTTGCCCTGATCTTTTGGGAACAGAGCTGTGACTCTCATGATAGCATGTTTTTTTCCTGTTCTTTCTTGGTGCTCTCTCATGGAGGGACATATAAACAGAGGCCCAGATAAGGTGAGGGAGCCTTGCAGATCTCTGGGGGAGAGCATTTCAAGTGAAGACAGCAGTAGACGTGAAAGCCCTAAAGTGAGGCAACGTCTGGTATATTCCAGGCAACAGAGAGTCAGCCATTGTAGTTGGAGAGGAGTGAGCTGGGAGTGGTTGGAAAGGAAAGTGAGGGAGAGAGCTCAGAGGGCTTGGCAGGCCCTGACTCTGCCAGGGGATGGGACAAGAAGTCATCGGAGTGTGGCCATCTGAGCAACCACGTGTGAGCTCTCCCTGACTGTGGTGTTAAGACCAGATTTCAGGGCACAAAAGAGGCAGGAAGGAGAGCTAGTAATTCAGGAATGGGGTTGCTTATCCACTGAATCCTACTGCTAAGTTATTTCTGCCTTGAGTTAGGGACAACATGTTACCCGAGTAGCTGTCACATAGCAAGTGTTCAACTCTTATTTGTAAACATGGCAGGAAAGAAAGGAGAAAGAGGGGAAGGGATAGAAGGCAGTCTCAAAGGTAAAGCAGAGGAGAGCAGACATTCCAGGCAGAGACAAAAACAGGATCCACGAGGCTGCAATGAGCCATAAAGACCAGGAAAAAGAAGCCAGGCTAGACCTGTTGCTACAGCAACAGACAGCAGTCTTGGTGAGTAGCAGCCGTGCCAACTAGTGCAGGGCTGGGAATCCCTTCTTTCCCTGAATCACTCATTCAGAGTCAGCTACTGGCCCCACCCAGGAAGCAGCTCCCCTGGAGGGCTTCTCTTGGGAGCACTTTGAAAGCCCAAGGACACTGCACCCAAACTGACCCAGGACCATAGAACAACAGAGTGAAGAGGCATGGTGGAGTCTGGGGATGGAAGGCACATGTCCCACACCACAGGCACAGGCCTGTTCCTGGCTTGGAGTGAACCCTAGGAGCTTTTCACATACAGGACCCACCCACTCCCTCATTCTTTCTCACTCCTTGTCCTGCTGTCCTGCCTCTAATTTTGCCACCCTGTTCCTGTGCCCTTTCCAACTGTGCTCTAGTTTCCTGGGCAGCCTCATTCCAGGAAACCATAATGAGCCTGCTCAGAAATAACACCTTCAACAGACTCATACTCACTCCCAAGGCATCAAGTCAGATCTCTGCTTTTGCTTTCCACATAAACAACTAGAAATCTCCCCGATAGTTCAGGTTTTCTTACTCTGTTTCTGAGACTCAGGTTGTTCTATCTGATGTGGCACAGACCTCCTGTTTAAAGCCACTTCGTCTTGGGTAACTTAAAAGACATTTAAGAGCAAAGTATGAATGAGTGTGCACTAGTCCCAGTGAAACTTAATGTAAGTTGGCATTTTGGAAAATGGTTCATCCTGGTGTGGGGTCATGATGTTGGAGTTTCGTAAATGGTGAGCTTGAATTTCCCACAGTTTGCAAGTGTTGGTAAAGCATCTTGGCAGAGTGTTTGAGTCCCCGGGGTTCAAAAAACATAAAATTTTTGTTGCATTTTGCTCCTTGATGCTTTGCCCACATTGGTCCCATTAGTGCCCTGCTCTGCCCCTGAGACACGGGACTGAACTGATTGAATATAGAAATGTGTTCCGGAGACATATCTGTGGGAGTCCTCAAGGGCTGCCTCTGAGCATTAGCCGAGTGTGACATAGCATTTGCTAGAGTCACAATCTGATGACAATGTGACTCACACAGAATTTTGATGCCACCAATAATTGCTCACTCAGAAGCACTGGCTGTTTTCCTATCTGGCATACCGGTTTTGATCACACACCTACATTTAAAATCGTGGTCTTTCCAAGTGTCTGTTGGAGAAAGGCCCCTTCTCCTGCACACCCACCAGCCCCGCCAGGATGCTGAGCTGGCTGCTCTGGCCCAATCACAGCCTC